AATTTTAAGGTCGGACCGCGTGACCTTAGGCAACGGCACACCATAGGACCGGGGACCAGGACCGGCTCCCGGTCCGGCGGAAGTACAGGAATCCGATACTACAGTAACCCCACGGACCGGAGCGGGCCCCGGTCCGGCGGAAGTACTGGTGTCCGGTATCACAGTAGCCCCGCGGACCGGGGCGGCCCCCGGTCCGGCGGAAGTACCGCAGCCCGGTATTACAGTAACCGCGCGGACCGGGGCGGGCCCCGGTCCGGCGGAAGTACCGCAGACCGGTATTACAGTAGCCCCGCGGACCGGGGCGGGCCCCGGTCCGGCTGGAGTACTGTAATCCAGTATTACGTAAGTCCACGGACCGGGACGGCGGCCGGGCCGGCGGAAGTACGGGATTCAAGTAATACAGTAATTCCGGGGACCGGGGACCGGTCCCTGGTCCGGCGGTACTGAATTGTCCAGTAACACAATCATACCGCGGTTCAGGCGGGTGTACTTCCGGTAGCCGGAAGTGTTTCTGGATTTCGGTTCAGGTTTGAATTCAAACTTGGGTTTTACGTACTGGTCGACTCGGTTTCTCTTCCCGAGTCTGAAAGTGTAAAAATATCGAAAGGGTGACCTTTGCTTATTACAGATTCCGTAGTCACGTGACCATTTATAGTGTATAACTATGGCGGGTGACCTTTTGGAAAAAGTATTTGCCGACTACCTCACATGATTTAACGCGAGAAAAAGAATCACCAGGTGGTCTATCGGTCCGATAGTCGGTTCAGCCGGTTCATCGAAATCTCGAATTTGGATGAACTCAATGAATCTTGAGATTTGGAAATGTAAGGTCACATTTAGACATATAAGTATTACAGACATAACAGACATAATAACGCCCCCCGACCAATCCGGATCGTCGGGAGGCGGGGTTTAACGGGTCTCGGCCCCATAGCAGTAAAGCATATGCGTTATATGGACCGTTTAGCTCAGTTTTTCTTCGGAAGCTCGAAAATGCAAAAAATTTTGAGGTCGGACCGCGTGACCTTTAGCAACGGCACACCATAGGACCGGGGACCGGGACCGGCTCCCGGTCCGGCGGAAGTACAGGAATCCGGTACTACAGTAACCCCACGGACCGGGGCGGCACCCGGTCCGGCGGAAATGCCGGAGACCTGTATTAGAGTAGCCCCGCGGACCGGGGCGGGCCCCGGTCCGGCTGAGTACTGTAATCCAGTATTACGTTAAGTCCACGGACCGGGACGGCGGCCGGGCCGGCGGAAGTACGGGATTCAAGTAAAACAGTAATTCCGGGGATCGGGGACCGGTCCCTGGTCCGGCGGTACTGAATTGTCCAGTAACACAATCGTACCGCGGTTCAGGCGGGTGTACTTCCGGTAGCCGGAAGTGTTTCTGGATTTAGGTCCAGGTTTGAACTCAAACTTAAGTTTTACGTACTGGTCGACTCAGTTTCTCTTCCCGAGTCTGAAAGTGTAAAAATATCGAAAGGGTGACCTTTGCTTATTACAGATTCGGTAGTCACGTGACCATTTATAGTGTATAACTATGGCGGGTGACCTTTTGGAAAAAAGTTTTTGCCGACTTCCCAAAATGATTTGACGTGAGAAAAAAGGATCACCAGGTGGTTTCTCGGTTTGATAGTCGGTTCAGCCTGTTCACCGAAATCGCGAATTTGGATGAACGCAATGAATCTTCAGATTTGGAAATGTAAGGTCACATTTAGTACCGGCCGCTTTAATGACGGAAACTTTTGGGGTGGGTCAGAATGGGTGTGGCGGACCTTCGTATCAAAACGGCACCCCCCATTTCGATCTATATAAGTATTACAGACATAATAACGCCCCCCGACCAATCCGGATCGTCGGGAGGCGGGGTTTAACGGGTCTCGGCCCCATAGCAGTAAAGCATATGCGTTATATGGACCGTTTAGCTCAGTTTTTCTTCGGAAGCTCGAAAATGCAAAAAATTTTGAGGTCGGACCGCGTGACCTTTAGCAACGGCACACCATAGGACCGGGGACCGGGACCGGCTCCCGGTCCGGCGGAAGTACAGGAATCCGGTACTACAGTAACCCCACGGACCGGGGCGGCACCCGGTCCGGCGGAAATGCCGGAGACCTGTATTAGAGTAGCCCCGCGGACCGGGGCGGGCCCCGGTCCGGCTGGAGTACTGTAATCCAGTATTACGTTAAGTCCACGGACCGGGACGGCGGCCGGGCCGGCGGAAGTACGGGATTCAAGTAAAACAGTAATTCCGGGGATCGGGGACCGGTCCCTGGTCCGGCGGTACTGAATTGTCCAGTAACACAATCGTACCGCGGTTCAGGCGGGTGTACTTCCGGTAGCCGGAAGTGTTTCTGGATTTAGGTCCAGGTTTGAACTCAAACTTGAGTTTTACGTACTGGTCGACTCGGTTTCTCTTCCCGAGTCTGAAAGTGTAAAAATATCAAAAGGGTGACCTTTGCTTATTACAGATTCGGTAGTCACGTGACCGTTTATAGTGTATAACTATGGCGGGTGACCTTTTGGAAAAAAGTTTTTGCCGACTACCCAAAATGATTCGACGCGAGAAAAAAGGATCACCAGGTGGTTTTTCGGTCTGATAGTGGGTTCAGCCGGTTCATCGAAATCTCGAAATCGGGTGAACGCAATGAATCACGTGATTTGGAAATGTAAGGTCACATTTAGTACCGGACGCTTTAATGACGGAAACTTTTGGGGTGGGTCAGAATGGGTGTGGCGGACCTTCGTATCAAAACGGCACCCCCCAATTTCGATCTATATAAGTATTACAGACATAATATAATATAATATATTTGCATATTCACATAAATGTATAATATATATAATATACTGTAATATATTATATATGTACGTATATTATGTTATTTGAAGCGCTGAGTTCAAATCTGAAAACAGATTTCAAAAAAAATTTCACCGAAAAAAGTTACCGGTTACCGGCAACTACAACTTGACATATTTTTTAGATCTCGATAACTAAACCGTAAAATCGTCTGAAACTGAAAACATAGACGTTATTTGATGCGCTGTAATCATACCGCATTATAATATAATGTATTTATATCTATATAGGGAGAAAACAAATCTACTCGGCCCGTTTCACTGCACTGCTGCCGTCACCCGCCTGGAGTGTGACGTTACGGCAATAAATACGGTTAAATCAGGCGCGGTACATAAGCACCATGTATACCCACAACGTAAAATGCCAGTCGGCGGACATCAGAAGTACAAGGGACTTGTTTTTCCCTCTATATGTTGTATTTATATGTCATTTATTTATGTGCTCGTATTTATATAAGTTATTTATTATTTATAAGTATATATCAGTTATTTATTATTTGTTATTTATTATAAATTTTAATTTGTTGTTTATGTACGCGCGCATAATTAAAATATGCGCATAAGGTAGCGCGTATTTAGCTTGAATGAAGTTCGCGCTATGAACGATCGGCACTTCACTACGTCTACAGATACCACTCCTCTCAAGATTTTAAGGAATTATAAAGGAGAAAAGTTGATATTTTATAGCTTATAACCATAGTTTGTAACTTAGATCGCTATTTCCGCAATGCATGTCAGCCAAGCCAAATGCATGTACTGTATAACTATATTGTACAGTGTGCTAATAGTGTGGCGTGGCGTGCCACACTATTAACATTGGAGTTATGTGTAATCCGCGAATTTGTATTTGTCGCTGTATTGCTGCGTTAGAAATTACGGGACAAGCTTGTATACGCTATACAGTGTACAGTACATTGTACACTCCATAACAGTATGGAGTACGTAGTAGTACGTAGTACGCACTATTATATGATTATACAAAGCGGTGCGGGAAATGGGAATGTATGACATATTCAGCGATTAAAATGGATACAGATTGCTGTCTGTCAAGTGTCAGGCACCACTCGCCCGGGAAGCGGATGGAATTCCAGAAAAAACGCTGCGTCAACAATGGCTAATGTCTACCGGTGTGTTTTTCCTGGGGATGAGTCATAGTTATGCGATAATCGTTAACCGCTGACGAATGGTTGTTCTGTGTTTGATCACGATAAATAATTCCCCTGACTTTGTGATTTTATTATACAGCTGCAGTATGTCTGCATAACATCGTACGATGAGCTTATGTACTGTCTACCCCACTTTTATTAATTTAGAACGTCTTTCTATTATTTTTCAGCTGGAAGCAGGACCGATTTCACGATAAAACTAAGCACATATGGTTTGTTAAACCAATTACCGGTGTTCCGAAGGAACAAAATAAAATGTCCCGACCCCAGTCAAAATAATCTCCAGATTTGTAACGAAAACATTCGGCTAACAGTATGAAAGAAGTGCTTATATGAACCGTATGCGTGCACGCGGTGTACTGTGTTTTCTTTCATTTGCAGCTTCATATGGTTTAATCTTAAATAAGGACTGCATAATGCAAATACGCCTTAGGACTTGTACCAGTTAACCAATTATTCTAAATCGATAATTAGGTTTTTCCGTTCTTTATGGTTTCCGGATGTTTTCCGGCCATCTTACCGCCATCATCGCTTCGCTTTTGTGGCCATTACTTGCCTATATAGCCACTAGATCAGCCGGTTTATGGTAGACTACTACTGTAAAGTGTAGGAGAATACGAGTAAGTACAACCATTGCCGCATAAGCGTCAGTATTATGAGTATGTGCATATAGAAGCATCACAAAATTATTCTAAAAAACACCGAATAAAAGATTATTCATAACAGAAGCCGTATTCACCAAGAATAAACCGTTTTTTATTGTTATTTCGCCGTTTAAGCTATCAATCATTCCAAGTACTCTAACTGCATAAAACTTATAAATGCCTATCTATACGCATTTGAAAGGAGAATACCTGTTTGTTGAGAGCGTATGCTCAGTTTAATTTCGCGTTACATCACTTACACGAGCATTTAGTATGAGTACAGCAATCTATATGTATCCGCTGGTCTTTTTTATGCGTGTGGCAAAACAACCGACCATTAAACAGTTACAAGCAGAGTACACGCGCATTATAAAGTGGCACCTGTAGTTATTATCGCCCATTAATCGTATGCGCCAAATAATCATCGCAAGTGACGGCATATGCGCCGGGTTCCGTTGTCCGGAAGTGATACCGTTTTGCTCCGCACTTAAAACACACCGGAAACGGCAGCGCTCGTTAATAGCCATTGCCGTGCGCGACGCCGGTCCTGCATATATCTGCCACTTGAACATGATCGCGTTTTAGCATTTTACCAGTACGTAAAAAGAAATATACTGTGTGGTGGTTGGGGCGGGCGCGACAGGCGCATAAAGGAATGATTGATGCAGTTTGCCGGGCAGGATAATACAGCGGCAGATTACGTGTGTTATTTAGGAATACGTCGCCACTCGGGGATTACTTACAAGTTACTTTCCCTTGATATCAAACTGAAGAACACTGAAAGTGCGACAAATGAGGCATGCGATGCCGCGGTACATTGGCTGAAATTCCACAGGGGAACCCATGGAATAAGGAATCAATTGCCAGTTTTGAATGTCATGAATGTCAAGTGCAGAATGATTTCCCCTGACATATTCACCTTTCGGAGATTGTAATGTCTGTAGTCTATCCCGTTTTGGATTTATTCGCTTTTTTATACACCGACAATATCATTGTATTTGCGTGGGTGGAAATTGACTGGAAGCCGGCTCATTTAGAGGCAGTAAAAGTTGCAATCTTCATTTTGCCCAGTTACGAATAATATTTCTTTGCATTTTTATACGGAGGCGATATCGTAACGTTGTTTTTACTGAGTTAAATTGTCTGGAAACCGGCAACTTAGAGGCTGCAAAGGTAGTGTTCTTTATTTTGCCTTCTTACCGATTTATTCACATCTAATACGGCAAGAATTTCTTTTTGATGCTTGAGTTGGAATAGTCTGGAAGCTGACTCATTTACAGGCAGCAAAAGGTGCAACCTTTATTTTGTCTAGTTACGGATTTATCCACATTTTTTGTACGACGATATTTTCGTTTTCGCTGAGTTGGAAATTGACTGGAAACTGGCTTATTTAGAGGCATTAAATGTTGTATGTTTTACGTAAACTGCTGATATATTCGTTCGAAAAAATGAACGAAACGGTGTCGATAGCGAATATCTCGCATCTGACTAATATGGCCAAGATTCGATGCGACTGGCCGGATCGGAATTTTACGGTTACATATAACAATCCCCACGTGCTGCATGCCGACCGCATTCTCCGTCCGTTCTGGATGATTGTATGTACCACCGGTAATATCCTGAATATTGCCCTGCTGCGCGATACCGGCACGTATCCGGCGGTGTTCCTGCTGGCGTTGGCGTGCTTTGATCTGGCCTGCATGTGAGGTTATAATGAAATTGTCTACTTTATAGTGTAGTGTAGTAGTTTTGGAATGTGTGTTGAAGTGTATGCAACGCAATACTTCAAAGTAACAAGTGGCACTCGTGTGTTGATAGTAGTGGTACGTTTTATAAGCATTATCGTTGCAGGTGGTCGTGGTTCACCCTATATATCCAGGTAAATTCAAATTTGTTTGAGATATCCTGAATATTACTTTCTATCTGAAGGTACCAGTTTTGCACTGCGTAGGGAAATACGAGCTAAGAATGATACGTAACACCAAAGCGTAAAGCGTAGTAAAGTTATAAAATTAATGTTATCAAAATATCACTTTCTTTGGCATTCACTATGATCTCGTAATCCAGAAACGCAATTTCTTAATTATTTTTCGATCAACAGGGCGAAAAACAGTAGGGTAGAGAAGCAATAATAAAGCAGTGAGGTATTCCAAAGTCGATAATGACTTTTATTTACGCTGGAATGGAGAAACTACTTAGTTAATATACAGCAAGTGAACCCAAGTGTGGCTTCCGTTACAGCGGCTTGTCAGAGCATTAATTTTAATACGGCTAAAGTATCAGCTTTGTGATCATACGCACGCTTGTCCCATGAATGTGCTAATCCAGTGTGCTTCCGAGATTTACGTCTCACTCCCTCTGTTTCTGTGCAGCAACTGTACAAAAATGTCTACTGGGAGCAGACGCACGAGATCCCCGGCATAATCAGCTTCCTGACGGCTGTGGGCAACACAACGGCGCAGTGCTCCGACTGGTAAGTGGGATTTGTCTCTACTTGGCGTATGAAACAAACCGTTACGCGTCGGTTACAAGGACCGTGCAACACCATGAACACATACCACAAATGTCATTAACATGGGCGAAGGATTTATCGTTTTTTGGGTGATTGTATCGCTTATATGACACACGGTATCGCTTAACGTCATCTCAGTTGACGTCAGCACCATTCCATATGATCTAAACACTGATCTTATTAAAGCGTTCAACAACTTGTCTGGTTTGAATGCAACGGTTGTTTGCGATTATCCAACTGCTTTGACGGGTTTGAACATTAATACAGCGTTTAGCTGTCTGCCTGGATTATTAAAACTGATTTTGCTTGTATGAATGCTAATATACGGTTTGTTATTCAGCCAGTACTATTAGAGCGTTTAGTAGTTTGCCTGGTTTTGCTAAAATAGCTGTTTTTTGTTATGTAACTGCTTTCTGTGGTTTGTTATACAGCCAGTAAGGTATCCACCCGAATGATTATTACGGTATTTAATGGGTACTGTGTGATTTAGGACCCTGCTGACATTTGGGATCACCCGGCTGCTGACGACTGTCTACCCTTTGAAAACCCGCAACTGGTTTAACAAGTGGCGTGCCGGATTGATGATTGCCGGCGTGATCATCTTGTCCATTATCACCTGGATGTTTGAGTTGACGTATTCCGTGCTACCGACAGCAGTTGAACGGCCACGCTGGTCCATTCAGTGGGAACTCGTCCATACGGTCGGCGTGGTACGTAAACGTGACAATACTAGTCGATGATGGTCAACCACAGCATCGAGCATTGAACGATCTTGCACTTCCAGCATCCCTGAAATATCCTGCTCAAATTGTGGAGCTCGAAAAGAGCTATGTGCATCACGAATGCGGCAGACCAAAATTTAATTTGTCTGATGCGTCGTTTTAACGCATACTGCGTGAACACGCGCTTCTATGTTCGAACACAGTACCGGCTATTTATGCGCATTGGGCGTGTGTTCCTCGTGCACAGTGTTCGTTTATTTTGTTATTAACCGCTGCTCGATTTGTTGATTTCCACTATTTTAGTCCTGCACAACAGCATTATTTACATAAGGACCTTCCCGCGTTCCTGGACATCTTTTCATGAACAGTATTATACTGTTTTGTAGGCTTTTTCCGAGCTCTTCACATTCTTCGCAGTCCTCATCATCAACATCATCGTCATCTGCCTGTTGAAATTCAAACTGCCGCCCGTTGAGAAAACCGCCACGGCAACGGAAAAGCGCTTGGTTTTCCAGAAGAAATCCACGGATACCAACGATTCCATCCGGCGTCACGTCAAGAAACCCCAGTCCACCTCCACCGTCCGCATGATGGGCGCGTCTACCTTTCTGTACCTTATCGTCAAGAGCCCGGTGGCCTTCTACCAAATCACGGAGCAGATGTGTGTGGCCCGGATGTCCGATGAGCAGTACGCGGTGTTCGCCGGGGTGTACAATCAGTTCCTGTTTGCCGGGTATTCCATACAGTTTCTGCTGTACTGCGCCGTGAGTCCACTGTATTTCAAGCGGGCGGTGCGGACGGTACGGCGCTGTACGGTGTCCGAGCCGCGCAAGATACAGACGGATTCGCTGCGGTCCACCGTCCATTCCCGTCTGGGTCAGCAAGATTCACTCCCGTGAACAGAAGTCCAGAAAACTGATCACTTGTCTAGTATTTTGTTCTGTTTACTCATAATGAAGATTTTGGTTTTATACATTTTTGGTTGAAGCGGCGGCTTGTTGCGATGTTAATTTATTGAAGCGTATAACCTTCGAAGGCACTTCTGGTAAAAAACAACATTCCCGGTTTGCATCCCGTGCTGAATATCTTTTTAAGATAATATTTTCAACGATGCGAAAAAGCGTCTCCTTTTGAGTATCTTATTCAGCGCTTCGACAGAACTTCTAGCTGAGTAGCTTGGAAAGCGTTTAAGGTCACCAGTGCAGCTGTATGTGCGATTAATTGGACCGGTTCAAAAGCTTAGCTTAGTAAACTTTAAGTCGTCGATTGCGTAAGAAAGAAAGACCGAAACTGAAGTCAGATTAGAAACAGCACGATTTCAGCTCTTTGCTTATAGAGCGAACCCAAGACTGACAAATTACGAGCACCAGCTGATGTGTAATAGAACTCAACTGTAATGCACATGCAAAGGAAAGATTAAAATTCATGGTTCGCTGTAACACAGGGGCCTTTGATGCTGCGCTTTATGGATGATAGAGAAACCGCACATTAATTCGTCCATTGCGCTGCGCCAAACTGTTCAAGCACTTCTGCTCATCCCCACTCCCAAAATAGAACGCATGCCCGAACACCGCACTACAATTCGCGCTGGGTTTCTTCCAGGCCGCCAGCCGCACCGCCGTCCGCAGTCCATCCACCCCGGCCATGTCCCATTCGAACCACACCGATTCCACTGCGGAATGCGACAAGATGTTGTACTCCTCGACGACCGCCACGGGGATCGGCAGATGCTGCATGAACTCCCCGTTGGCCAGCTTCCCGAAACCGATGTGATGGTTTCCCTCGATGAGGGCTCTGAGGAAGTGACAGCAGGCCGGTGCCAGATCCGGGCGCATGAAGATCTCGAAGCGCTGGTAGACGATGCTGCTGTGAATGTCCACGTACTCCACGCGACAGGACCAGCGCGGGACGGGCAGGGTGCGAGGCGTGGTAATAAAGGCGGTGTGCGGTTTGTTCGTGGCCGGGGCGGAGATGTAGCGGAGGATTTCGCAGTTCTCCGTAGGCAGCAGCAAGTCATCCTATCATGTGCGATAAAAACGTTGCTTTATTTTATCGCATAGTGCACAAACAGGCGCTTCATCGGTCGAACCCAGTGCTGGTAATTTATGGGCGCATGCAAGCTTGTCCAGCAATTTTTACCGCATTAACACAGCGGCAAACACAAATTCACGGATTACACCAAATTTTATATACGGCGCGCCAACGCTCTACATGCACTGGCATGGCTGTTGCAGCATGGAATTATCGATCTAAAGCAGCGATACAAATTACAAAAAAGTATTAACTTTTCTTCCTTATAATTATCCTAAATGGAGAAGCTATCGATATAAAAAACAATGTCACTGTAGAAGATGTAGTATAGTTGCAAAGGCAATCGTTCATAGCGCAATATTTGTGCTAAATACGTGGAATATGAACCTTGATAGTGACGCTAAAAATTACGGGACAAGCTTGTACAGTACCGCACCTTTTCTGGACCGTCGACAAACTCGCTGGTTGTGAAAAGCGGAAAGCGAATGCTGTACAGCAGGGGTCCTAAAGCTTCTCGCAATGATATCGTAGCATCGCCGATATTATGCTGCGCCCACCTGGAATTACATCGTTGTAATACAGCTGCCCTTACAGCGACATAGTATTAATATTCTCATTAGCAAAACCAACAAAAACATTATTGTCACTAAGATTTAATTACAGACAATGACTACAGTCATTGTTATCTTTGACTTTCTGCTGCACTAAGTTGTTGGCTAAAATAATAATAACGCGAAGTATTATGTATTACTGAAACTTGTACATACTGGCGCACATGGTGGTAGACAGTCGACTCCCGCACCGAGAGCTGCTCGCAGTTCAAAATCCTCCCGAGACAGTGTGCGGACAACGTAAGGAACCCGGGAGACTCCATGACCGCCTGCGTGTTACGTGAAATCTCCGCCAGTGCCAGGGTGGCAAGGTTGTCCTCTTCCAGAATACATGCCTGCACAAAACGCTTGTACATAATCGATAATATTGCAGTGGTTTCGAAAGAAATAATATATATTTTACAATAAGGAGATAAGGAGCGCTATTTCTTTTTCTATTTTGTTCTATGTACTGATTATTTACCCGCTCCAGAATGTCGGCACTGTATTGTCCACTGAACATGCGGATATGCGTCTCGGTATAGTGCCGACACACCCGTACTAACTTATGGACCAGGAATTTCTTGGCGCAGTGCAGGGTGTCCATCACCGTGTCGATGGTCAGGTCGTAATGCACCGCATCATCCGCACCGTAGGCGTAGCTAAAGCTAAGGACAAAAAAATGCTCGTTGCACTGTTTGTATAATTTGTTTCGCTAATTTTCACATTAACGATTTGGCAAATAAGGTTAGACTTTCGTCAGTTGTCAATGTGCCCGGCACCTTTGGACTTCAACCTTACACACGCTCATCGAGTTCTTGTTGCCATAGTATAACTGTAGCGCGTAATTGACTTGACACTGTTGACAGTCGTCTCATGGACATTTCGAATTCTGCTTCCCGGAATAACGAAAGCAGCCCAAACCCCAAAGTTCGAATTACATTCAGTGTCACTATGGTACCACTCTAATCCGCTGTAAATTTTCTAATATAATTTTGCTGTTGTAATTCTGCTTTTTACAGAAGTTGTTCGTTGTGACTGGCTTGTGCGAATAAAATTCATCAAAAATAATAAAAATCCCCTCTATCGTTTTTACTTACGTACTTCACCAGGTGCTGGAACGCCGTTGGCGTGATATCCGGAAATTCGATGACTCCGTCCGGTTGGGCGAACGGTCCGTGGAACATCGCGTGGAATACCGAACTGACCAGCGCCAGAACAAACCTAAAAACTGGATATCCTAAAGTGCGCGCAACGTTTGGTTGGAGAGCTATAGTTGTTATAAAATTCCCAAATTAAACGCAGACAGGTGTGCGCACCGAAAGCCGCAATATGAACAGAATTTCTTCAAATTTTGCATAAAAACGCGCATAATTATAAAGTTTGTTTCCACACCCAATCAAGCGTTTCTAATATTTTTAATAAATTTCAATTAATTATTTTGCTGCACAATTTAAAAGGAAAATACAAAACGTATTTGCGACACGAAGTACGCCCAAGAGAAAGTCCCTGTGAATGTACACAAATTTGGCACTATTTAGCGGGTCTCTGCTCTTTATACGGCGCTTTTCCCTTTTTTATTCTGCAGTGTGTAAACTATAAAGTACTATAAACTGCAAGTAAGTAAGAACTGCAGTGAGTGCAGTCTACCATAAAATGCACGACTTCGTAGCTGTAGTTTCTCTACAGAAAAAGGAGCTGCGTGGCTTTCTTATGTATCCTTGAAGGCTTACTTGTGGCACCGGAACGCTTTGAGCGTGCCATTCTGCTCATTGCCCACCACGATAGTCACGTCACTAGGGATCCCTTCGTCGGGATGATCCAGCAGGTAGCGCACTCGTTTGGTCAGGCGTTTACTCGAATGCCACTCTTTCTTTACCGATCTCCCCGAGCCGGTCGACATCTCCGTAAACGTGATTGTGGCGCCGGTGACGGTGAATCTGTTAAACAAAGACATTCGTACAGCTTGTATATCATCCACAATATAACACTGGCTAACCCAAACGATCCAACACCAAAGGAAGCCTGGCAAAGTGCGACGTTGAATAACTGCAAAAGGTCACCGGCTAGAACTAAAAGAATCTGATTTTTAATTTTTCTTGCTTACTACGTGTATTGCAGCTGATTGGTAGGTAAAGCAGATTTAAAGTTGTACCATGTCATCGGTTTCGCGCCTGTTACGGATTAGTTACGGATTACGTTCGTTGCTATAGTATGCGGCCGGCGCGTGGGTTCAAAGGCGTGGTTTGCGTGCTGGTCAGTCGACCTCTTTACCGGTTTCCTTAGCATTTTCCGGGTGATTCGAAACGCAGCATCCAAAAACTGTCTTCCTGATTACTTATTACTCGACAGCTACTGTTGAACTGAAATTTTAAATGCAGTTTCTGCAATACAGTACAAATTTTTAGGCGGTGTTGCAACTGTTACTGAGCTGCTTAATGTGCTTATTCGCACTGTTTTGGCATCACTTTTAACGCAGTGTGTAAATCGTATTACGAAATGTCCATCAACGAGGCCAAGAAGAAAGAATGGCATTCCAGCCGACACCTGAAAAAACGAGTTCGCTACCTGCTGGATCATCCCGATGAAGGAGTGGTCAGTGATGTGACGATTGCCGTCGGCAGCAATGGTGGTGGACACCAAAGGATCTTCAAGTGTCACAAGCAAGTACAGATATACGTTATTTTATTGCTAATTAAAACTACGCTTTTTGTACGAAACTACGGTTATTGTAGCAATGCTTGCTGGTCAGAAAAATTAATACTGAATGCGTAAGGTAGGCAAATTTATACACGCTGATTTTAACAAAGCTTTGGAAAGATACCGATTAGCGACTCTCTAATTGACTACACGGGATTTATTTTTATCAGGTTTATTTTGGCGTTGGTCAGTATTCCACGCCGCATTCTACGATCCAGCTGCCCCGCTCGACGATCCTATAGAGTTCACGGATATTACACCGGAAGCATTTCAGCATCTGTTGAAGTAATAACTCAGAAACAGGCCTGTGCAGCTAATTATTTCTAACTATTCAGTTTTACGCGGTATTTTTTTATTTTTTTACGGAAATTTTTGCGCAGAAATTTCCTGTCAGTACTGTTTTTTATTATTAAATGTTGACCAGAATCGTGGAGGTTGTGATTGTTCATGTAGCTATGCTTACGGCGGTGACTGTGCAGTCCTGTTTGACCTGACCGTGGATAACGTCATGGACACTCTGTACTGTGCCAAGAAGTTTATCATTACAAAATTATGCCGGCTCTGCCGCAGCTTCCTGGAACCCCACATTTCTGGTCAAAATGCTGCTGGAATCCTGGAGAAGTTAAGTGATCCGAGAGGAATTAAGAAAGTGGGAAAATAAATTTCTCTGTTTCAATGAGGATTTTTACGCCCTTAATGGCATTTCATAACCAAATTATTTGCAATCACGGAAACATGAGAAAAAAATAACCCGCCAGTTGTAAACAACTTTTTTAAGACGTTCAAGGTTTTACTAATCAAGACGCACTGCCGTACGCTTGCAATTTCTTTTTATTTTGATCACCCATGAACTATGTAGGCTCGTCAACTGGATGAAGACGAGCTCGTGGTCGTCGCCTTAGCCGAAATCTCTCGCAGCACCCAAGCGGTTATGGAATCTCCGGGTTTTCTTCAGCTATCCTTGCCGTCGTTGCGGAGGATTCTGGAGTGCGACCAACTGTCGCTTGGCGAATCGCCACTCTACCAGCACGTTTGCCGGTAATTAGCTTCGGCGCAACGACGATGCCTGGTTCACTGATCGGGAATGGGTGTCTGGCTTGCAGATGGGCCCAGCACAATGCCGGTAATCCGGAAGTGTCACTGCGAGAAGCCTTGGGACCGTTGCTGTACTTGATACGCTTTCCGCTCTTCACAGCTATCGAATTTTTCGACGGTCCAGACAAGGTACGAACCATTTAGGGTTCTAAAGCGCAAATCATCCATTCGGCGCACGGTTCAATATTCAGAATTTAAATTCAATGAACAGACTGCAGCAGGAAAAACACTCCCTACGCAAAAATGCCAGCGCTGCTTTCAAATGAAATGCTTGTCTGCGTAAAATGTGGTAAAACAACGCAGCCTTTTTTAGTCCTATCATTTAGGACTAAACAAGTCACTAAACTTTAATTATTTGGCTTAATATGTACATGCAGGTTAAACCAAAGGAAGTCATTTCAGTTAAAATAAATTATTTTCTTATGTTTTCTTGATATCGTAAAAATGTATTTGTTGCAAACCGCACTTCCGTTAACGCCGGCGCAGCAGCCGAACTCGCTGAAAGGAAGAAACTAGCCAAACACGCTTGGATGCAAACAAGATACGATTTCGTTGCTGCAGCCTTGGAAATTTACGGACCTTATGGAGACGGTACTAAAAAGCTAGTAGAAACTGTTGGAAACGGTATAGCGACTTCAACTGGCCAAAAGCGGGCGAAAGAGTTTTTTAAACAGCGAATATCTATGAAAATACAACGGGGAAACGCGATTTGTTTAATGGGTACGATCCCCGATCAGGATAGCATAGAGGAAGTGTTTCTTTTGTAAACCCTGTTTTGTTCAGGTGCATAGTTTGTACTCGTACCATGATACTTATTAAAGGTTCATTATATATTTATTGCAAAATCGAAGAATTTATCAATTGAATTTGTTTATCATAATAATTCATTGTAGAATAAAATTGATTAGAGCGATAACTGTATTGTAGCAGTTCTTTAAGCTCCAGCATCCCGCCTACTCTGCACCTGTATCGTTACGCAAGAAATGAATCACCCGGCTTGTACAGAATTTTCGTAGAGCATTTCACTGCTTCTGCTGGTGTCCCATTAATTCGGTTGATCTTTATCCTGTAGGACGGTGTACTGCTTGAGAACGAGAAAAAGGACGTATTCCAGCACATCTTCTGCCATGGACGCCACCCGGTCCCCGCCTTCTCCGCCACGCCCCGCACCGTCCCGCTCCCGCGGTGGTCCTGTCGGGTGGAGTATATCAGTGTGGGCACCCGCCAGGTGTACGGGCACTTCCAGGTGGTCACTCGCCCGGATATGGCACCGGCGTGCTGCCAGTTCCTGAAAGCTCTGATTGAGGGAGATTGTTATATCCGATTCGCCAAACTCTGCAGTGGAGCGACCAAACCACAGCTGGACGTGCCGGCGTCCGTGCTCGGGGAGCGCAACGTTCTGTCGCATGCGGCACCGGAAGCGGTGTGGTTGGAATGGGATGTTGTGGACGGGGTGGCGCGGAATGTCCGTCTGGCCAATTGGAAGAAACCCAGCGACAACCATAGTGCGGTGCTGGGATACGTCTACGGTTTTGATTACCGTCAGGAGAGAAAATGTTTGAATGATTTGGCTGTACGGAATTGTCGTATTGCTGTGCGGTTGGTCTATTAACGGAGAAACTGTTGTTGAGTGCGACACACAAATTAACACAATCAGTTTTTCTCTTGTGCAACAGTTAGTGTTCGTTCGAAGGGTTTAGTCCTTTTGCCTGCTGTTATTAGTGTAGATGTTATGTTCCGTAATTCAGCATGTGGTAACACCTACAACTTAATTTCCGTTTTTTACTTGCTGTTATTTGCCGATATGACTTTTTTGGCTAAACAACGTACTGCGTATTGCGAACTATTATTTGCTGCTGGATACATACAATTTACGGAGATAAATTCTGCATACTTATCTTCTGCCATAATATGACCTTTGCAATAAAACTGTACTGTTAGAACATTTCCACTCAAATTCCTTTTTCAATTCAGCGCTATGGGAGGGCTTTGAAGGTGGAAATAGGTTTAAAGCTACAGTTTATCGAATCTGTGATTAAAACAACCAGCAAAACACTGCATAACAGGCACAGTTCATAGAAGTACGTTGGATGGTTGGAAACGGCATCTTCCAAACTTTACTTTGGAAAGCTGACACCCAAGGTGTCAACTGTCAGCTTTCCAAAGCAAGGTTTGTTTTACGTCTACCAGAATCGAGAAAGCTCCAGACCACACTCACACAAGCATTTTATTGGACATTCCGATAACTCCGTGCGCAAGAAAGCAAAACATTTCGCTTGAACGCAGCATAAATAATTAGCGGCAATGCAAATGACTACAACTAGTGGACACGTGACTCCCATCCCAAGTAATGCATACGGTTATCAAACACCGTAATAATGCAGCTCAATTCCCGTAAAGCAGGCATTCCCCACAACGCAAAGCTAGTCAACGGTTTGCAAATTCCTAATTTCTCTACTCATTCGTGAAGCCGAGTCGAGTGGCCACGTCAGGCGCGAAGTGCTTCCGCAAATTATGGCGGGCATTGACTGGCCGGCACGCAGGTTCCCTGGGTGGTGCGCACCAATCCCTCCTTGCAGACGCAGCTGACTATCACGGGACAGTCATTCCCCCGCAGTGGACACGAGGGCGTGGGCTTGCTGCAGGTCGGCTCGCAGGCGGGACAGCCCAGCTGCAACGTGGGATGCAGTCCATGGACGCAGATTGCGGAGGAAGACGACGCTGGAGCCGGTGTCGTGTCGTTGACAGGTGACTCTGGCGTCGGTATCACGGGAAGAGGGACAGGGGGATTTGACGTATCTCGAATATTGCACTGGGTAGCCGTCACGCAGCTTCCCTGGGAGTTGCGCATGAATCCTGGTTTGCAGACGCAAACGTCGCTCGACGGGCACCTCGACCACGTTAGTGGGCAGGAGGGGTTGCGGTTACTGCATGTCGGCTCACAATTGCGACAACCCTTCTGCATGTTGGTGTAGCAGTTTATTCCGAAAAAGGCCAGGTTAAGTATGGCTCTGTAAATTAAATACACGTACCATGACTTTCAAATCACTTTTTGTGGTAATATATTAATTCCGCAATGACTGGGTGAACAGAGCAAGCGCACAGTGGCTTCATCTCTGGATGGTTGACGCCGTTATTTTCTGATGCCGATGAACACACGGACAATTTGCTGACCACTATCTTTGCTGACCGACAGATGACATTTTGTAAGATAAACAAAGTATTCACTAAGAAAATTAAGACTAAGAAAACGGTTTCCGCAGAACTTCCGCCAGAAAATTGTCGAGAGCAATCGAGAAAGCCAGAGAAAGAAGTATTACTCCGCATGTGCTCCGTAGCCAAGTACCCGTAGCATTCACTTACTTGCCATCCGTTGACGTCTCTTCGATTACCGCTGCGTCGCCATCGAGCAGACATGTGGCAGATACTAACACAGCGACGAGGGAAGTCGTTAGCTTCATCCTTCAGGAATAAAAGAATGGATTGCGAAGTGCAAAATCTTATGTTATTATTCCACGCGCTCTCTGATGCGTCTTATATATCGTTGCCCTAATAAATTCCATTATTTTCGCGCCACCTTTCCAGTAATTGCCGTCTTGCCTTACTGATGGCACTAGCCGTCGCGATTAAAGACGATCACGCATGTCCCGGGGAGATTTTCCTTGGTTATCTTTGATTCTCGTCCAGGGAAGTGTGTTGAAGTAAAGGTTATCAGCATCGCAACCAACAAAAAAAATTATACCCACTTAGTGATCATTAACGAAAGCAATAAAATTAAATATTGTCTGAATTATTTCGTCTTATCTCGTCCATGCTGCCAAAATCCTTGAAAAGCCACTGTATTTTTAAAGCAATTATCAGGTTTTGATTTGTGTCTAAAAACCTCGCGACAAACGCCTCGGAGCAACTCGGTGGAGGATGTGCTTCCTCGGCTGGAATAGAGCAATTGATTTGTAACACTGAATTAGGTACTGCATATTCACATATAATACATATAATTATGGGGGTACGTAGATACATATAATTATGGGGGTACGTAGGTTTTAGGGGTACGTCGCGTTATTAGCAACAAATTATTCACGCTTTCTACATAACTCGTTATTCATACTTGCTACATATAATTATGGAGAGCCGCAACAGCTACGCAATAGTGCTATCATAGCACTATTGCGTAGCTGTTGCGGCTATACAAAATTATAGTACATATCTGTGACGCAGCAAATCCTTGGGAAATATGACCGCTTGAACAAATGGAAAAATCAAAAGACCACGTTACTGACGACGCAAAAGATCAAAACAAAACTTCTATCATAGTCATATCAATCATCTGGAAAAAATACACATAGTAATCTGGCATAACCGGCATCGACTAGATTAGAGCTAGAATCGAGAAAACAGCGGATTACATGTACGGCAAACTTTTGGACACGACGCAGACCAACCGAAAGATATGTCCCTAACAGCAGTAAAGCAGTGGCATTTTTAGGTAAAAGCGATGCTAAACATAAGTAACTGCCAGTGTCGGTCACGCAGCTCCCATCTCCAGCAATAAACAAGATCCCCAAACACCGTAAGAAAACGGTGCACAATTTATGAAAAGCAGATATTCCCGACGCCAGGCAGCGATTATTGTAAACTACTTTTTTTCAGTTAATTGCGCAAAATCGAGACGCCGGGACATTCACTAGGTTTCACACAGGTATTCTGCGCGGTGCGCACCGTTCCCGCTCGGCAGACGCAGTCGCTCTTCACGGGACAGTTGGGGCCCCACAGCAAGGGGCACGTGGGTTTGAAGTTAGAGCAGGTTGGCTCGCAGGCGGGACAACCCAGCTGCATGGGGTTACTGGTCAACCCGGTAAGGGAGCAGGTGATCACGGGAGGTGCCCTGCAAGTAAATTTCTTAAAGCACCTTTTATAATGATTCCCCGGTGTCTGCAGTACCAGACGAAACCAGGAGCCGTCTAATCTCCCACAAGGGACTTACAGTTCATCTGGAAATAGACTTAAACTTGATGTAGTGGGTGTGGTTGCATGCGCGCTGTACTACCGGCGCATATAGATTAATTTTTAAAGCTGAATGATTGCATGTAAATGCGCACAGCCGAAGCAGTCGCAATAGCTCTAAGGCTGTCTATAAGCCACACCTCTTGTTTTCATCCCTGAATGAAAAATTTCCAGATAGACTGTATCCCGTAAAATACATGTCTCGTTAAATGCTGTGTATTTGTATAATAATTATAGTTCCTTACTCGGGAGCCGGTGCCGCTGGACAATCACTAGGATTCACGCAGTCTCCCTGGGCGTTGCGCACCAGCCCGTCCTTGCAGACACAGCTGATTATCACGGGGCAGTCGTTCCCCCGCAGTGGACACGAGGGCGTGGGCTTGCTGCAGGTCGGCTCGCAGGCGGGACAACCCATCTGCAGTGTGGGATGCAGATTATGCATGCACATCACGGGGGCCGGCCCTGGAGTCGGATCGTCCGGGGGGAAAGTGACAGGAGGAGGTGGTGGGACAGTAGTTGCCGGCGATGGTGCTGAGCACTGACTGACCGGCACGCATTTTCCCAGAGCGGTGCGCACCAATCCTGGCTTGCAGACGCAGCTGCGTTGCACATCACAGTTGGGTACAGTCACTGGACACGTGGAGACGGGGCTGCTACATGTTGGCTCACAGGTAGGGCATCCCATCTGCATCGTGGAAGACATCCCATTTTGGCAATTCACGTCGTCAAAGTCGAGGTCTAATCCTCCCCTGTATATACAGTTTCATAAAGCGTTTTTCACAAGGATCACGGTTTCTGGCGTTAGCCGACGAAACGCGAAATACTTTTATTAGCAATACATCGAAATATACCGTATGCAGATTGCAGAATATGGCACCTTGTATGCAGTGTATTCAAGGAAATGCGCTTACCCGTTGCTTGGCCCTGGAGCAGGTGGCGCTGCCGTCGGCCGCTTAGTAGATGCTGCAGTCGTTGCCGGCGCTGGTGCCGAGCACTGACTGACCGGCACGCATTTTCCCAGGGCGGTGCGTACCAATCCTGGCTTGCAGACGCAGCTGCGTTTCACATCACAGTTAGGTACATCCACTGGGCAGGTGGAAACCGGGCTGCTGCATGTTGGCTCACAGGTACGGCATCCCATCTGCATTGTGGAAGACATCCCGTTTTGGCAATTCACGTCGTTAAAGTCGAGGTCCCTTACTCCCCTGCAAAAAAGCGTTTCTCAACGGGCCTGTTCAGGAAAACTTTTAACGTGTACAGTAAAAAGACGAAACCTGGAGATTAATAATAATCATCACCATGCAACAGGAGCACATCCAGTGCGCGCGTAAAACGAGGCATTCAATGCTTTTCGTCCTACTGTCCATGTTCTGTACTAGTGTAACTCACTTACCCTCCTATTTTTTGTCCATTTGCCGCTCCGTTGCAGCCGGAGAAACTTGTTGCGGCTACCAAAACAGCTATAAACACAGCCGCTACCTTCATGCTTCCAAATATAAAATTAAGAAAAGAGTAACAAATACCGAACTGGCAGCAAAGCAGATATGCAAACCTGCTGGTCAGAAAATAAAAACTCGGAGCGCGGTGTGTTCAGTGTAGTTTATACCGATTTTAAATGCTTTCTGCTGTTCCTTTTATACATCGTTGCGTATAATTCTTTCCTGTGTTTTTTCGCGTCCGTTTTCCAGGGTTTAACTTAATTTCTTTTTTTCTTTTGTTAATCGCGTTTGTAGATGGCGATAAAAGACGATTATTTCTGAGTCTGGCAGGTTTTTCTTTGTTCTCATCGCTTCTCGTCAAGTAAAGTGTGTCGGAGTAAGGACAGTATTAAAAATCACAAGTACCGCAAATTGTGTGCTGTATGATCGATGGCGGTAGCGATAATGCGCCGTATTGTCTCAACTGTCTGGTGCTGTCTCACGAGGATGCCAAAATTTTCGAAAGAATAGCTGTATTTTCAGAGCAATTTATTTTTAACAATGTCCAAAAACCGCGGGCGACAAATTTACCTCGAAGCAGTGCGGTACCAGATGTGCTGGTTCGGTTGGAGTAAAGCGACGGATATAATACACAGAGTTATGGGTAACCGCAGCAGCGTATATTTATTTCTTTATTTCTAGTACCTGCAGGCTGCAGCCTTGGGTGACAACTGGAATCCATTCAGTATTTCATACAGAGAAACCCACGTATAACAGCTTCTGTAATTCAATGGAATAGTGCACCATTTGATTGACGCGCAAAACAAAAATGCGGCGATTCTATGCATCGGAAAAGCTCTACCATTACAGGATTGACATGACGAAAACAATAAACTACGAACCTGTATATCTGGCAGCCGGGAAATTTCTTTTACGATAAAACAAAATAAACACGCAAAAATCGGACAGAATTTGGCGTAAAGCCAACCGAAGACCGGTAAGCACGCTCTGTATTGGCTGGTCTCAACCACATTTTGTGACCCGTAAACCGATACTTTGGTAAGCAAACGGACATCCGAATCTCTCAAGTTTGCCGACACGGTAACTCTGCAATTTTGTAATTTTATAATTAACGTTAAATAACACTCTGAGTTCATATGCCACGGAGAATAAGAGGCACAGTGCTTAATACTTACCATTTCTCCAACAGCAGCCATTCTTAGCACCACTCACTGATGGATCTTCTGCAAACTCGTTAGCCGATGCTTCGCCGCAACCATTTCGTTTACCTACAGCCTATATTTACGGATGGGGTCTGAGAGTTCCAAGGTTTCTTAATTCGTTCGTTAGGCTATCAGTGTTTCTTCCCTTGGTGTTTCGGGAAGCTCTTTTGCCGGTCAACAGAATTTCATCAGCAAATTGCCGAAAATCACCGGTTAACGTTGAGCACCCCGTCGATCATCGATTTGTCATTTCAATAAATCTTCGGATAGAAGGTTTTGTCGGTCAGTAAGGAGCCGTCAGCAAGATAATGGTCGACAGACCATCGGGGAAGCGTTCGTCGGCACTCCTGTCGTTACTTTATACGAGGAGGAGCTACCTTGGCCCGATCAAAGGCGCACACACGACCATAATCCGATCACTGTGCCCGCGTGTGTGCACCGCGTCCAAACACCCAGGTTGGCAGTAAATTTAATCACTGTGCTTGCACATACGCAAGATGGCCAGCCACCTCACGAGGGCAACAACTTTATAACATCGCTATGGCCGCCATTTTTAACGCACAAAAAGTCTGCGTGAGACCACTGGTGCTAAACTAAACGAAAGTGCATAATTATTTCCTGAAATCCTGCACGAGCACAACCGTTCAAAGCAATAAATCTGCGCCAAAATAATGTTCACTTTTTATCCATTCTAAACGTTTTCTTGGTTGGCGTGTTCGTAATATCACTGAGGCCGCTCTTGGTCTTCTTGCTGCGCTTACTCTTGGCCTGCAGTTTTGCTTCTTCTCGCTTTTCGAGGGCCTCAATAACCTGACTATCCGTCGCAATGAGCCCTGCATCCGCGCGCAAGCGCGACTCTTTTAGTTTCCTTTGCTTAGGGGCATGTGCTTTCATCAAAGAAAGATGCCAGTCCGCAGCAACTTTCTCGGGCGCTACAGGAGCACTAAAACCTTCTGCTTCAGCAACGGCATATGCTATAATGCGCTCTATTTTGCCTTCGGTTAAAAGCGGAATTTTTCGAAGCGAACGACGCACAATTTCCAGTTCTGACACGTAGTCATTTGCTACCGAAACGGGCACGTCCAAAGGTGATGTCGCTGAAACTGGTTCCACATAAGCTTGACAAACGGCATCCGGGTTGAAAGGAAATATTCCAGCAGAACCAAATCCCGAAACTATGTTTTTCGACATATTAAAGTCACACAAGTCGATTTAACACATTCGGATAGAAATTCGAGATTAAACATGTGCGAACTGTGTCCATCGAGAAAAATCACGTTCTGTAAAAAGAAATTATGGTTAACCATATTATTAAATTATAATTTACCTAAAATGGTTAAATAAAAATTCACTAATACGTGAGTAAAACAACGATAAGATTAAGCTAACATTTCGCTTAATCTACAATGTGAATGAATCGGGGAGCTTTTATTACGCACCTTTTCTGCTGTCATCCGAGGGATCACCTCTTCCCTGACGTACGAAGCGAAGGTCGCATTATCCATTATTCCAGACGAATTGAAACCGATATGACACATATCGTTCGTCTCGTTGAAATGCGAAGCCAAAACGACTTTCCCGTCGAAAAGAATTAGCGGCCGCAAAATTTCACCGGCTGCATTGCCTCCCGCAAGAACGGTTATTAACTCACGGTCATTGCCATCATAATATGACAGTACATCTTTCACACCCCGCCTGGCGTATACCGTTGTCACTTTTTCCGCAACCTGAAAGGCTGACTCGTCAAAATTCCAGATGCCGCGTGGATCACTGAGCAGTCCCAAGTTGTTCAGCGCAAACAGTCGCTGTATCCATCCGTCCCTATTTTCTACTGTCCATTCCTTCGTTTTTTTTCTTGAAACGCCATGTGAAATGCGCCGAGATATATTAGGGTGCCGCTCAAGGAATTTCTTATGCCACTTCGCTGTGAATAATTTTGATTTCTCAGGCGTAACTGTAAAACTTAAAGTATTGAGTACACAAATTATACGCAAAATAACTCAAATAAGTGCTGGCGATTTATTACAAATTGCGAATCACTGTATAAATGTATAATTGAATTACTGTATTACTAAAATAGTTTTGACATAAATTTGCACTGCCGACCTTTAGATTTTGCCAAGAGTGGCACAATTCGTCGCAGTGCGCTCTTGTCCAGTGGTATGCCGTTTTCAGCACATTTCAACAGCAGCTTCTCAATATAGTTTTCTTCTTCATCAGTAAATTTCCGTTTATGAGCTCCTTTTTCCTCTTCGCACGCCGTTTAACTTCTCCCAGAGCGTAGCATATGGAACGTGATACGTTTTTGCTGCTGATCGCAGAGACAGGTTTCGGATTCCACGGCCCGAAGTGCTGCTGACATGCCTTTACCATAGCTTGCTGGTACAGGGACGGGTTCTGCTAATTTCTCCACATCTGATGGCAGGCCCGAACTATTTCTGTTACTCGCACTGACAGAAAACAGACTGGCAGGTAACTGAAGGTCTTCACCGAAATTCTCCATGTCGGACAAAACGGAAGACGGATAGTTATCCTCAGGTAATATGACAAAATCATTTTCGTCCATAATTACAAAATTTCGATCTTGCAAAACAAATTAACATTCGAAAACAGTGAAAGGTCGTAACGATGGGTGGCCGTAATTTGTTAAACAATTCACGGCCGCTAAAATTTATTAATAATTGGGCTGCCGCGTTAGGATGACAGCCATGTTGTATGCGCGTGCAAGTGGTTAACGTCGCTGCCAGCTAGGGTGGTTGGGCATGGTGCACACACGCGGGCACAGTGATCGGATTATGGTCGTGTGTGCGCCTTTGATCGGGCCAAGGTAGCTCCTCCTCGTAGTGAATGTAACGTTAAATTTAGGAAGCTCTTTTAGTACCGGTAATATGACCTGTTTGCATTAAACTCCTACTGCATAGTAGAAATAAAATATTTTTATTGCGCATTTGCCACTTGGAGGAACACGCTAGCTGTGTTCGGTGAATAACATGCAAGGTTAAGCGATGCAGTGATGTTTGCGATTAGCGAATACCTGATTACCGGATTACCGGCGGAAAATATTTTCACTCATCCAGAACATCCCGTTCGCAAGAAATCTATTTCGTTACTGATTGGGTTATATGAGCTTTGTAATGGAAATTATGGAATCCTATTGGTAGAACAACCTAATTCGCGTTGCATATTCTTTAAAGAACAAGCTAGCTAGAAAAGGTAGAAAAGTCACCAGTCCGGCTACGACTACGACTACCAGAATCGAGAAAACACCGAATTCTCGGCAAAAATTTTTAGGTATGTAGACTATCCGACAGATCTTTCGCTTACAACATAAAGCAGTAGCATTTGTAGGCAAAAGCGGTGCCGCTAAACGTGAGCAACTGTCGGTCGCAAAGTCTATTCCCAGCAGTGATCAAGGTCACCAAACACCGTAATAAAGCAACACAGTTCATGCAAACCAGATATTCTCCTAGCTAGTCAGCGATTAAAATATTTTTCCAATTAATTGCGTGCACTCGGGGCGCCAGAGTTCTTCTTCCGTCGCCGCTCCTCATCTGACGGGCACTGACTGGGCACCACGCAGGTATTATCCAGATCGTTGCGTACCGTTCCTGGTTCGCAGACACAAGCACGCTGGGAATTCCCGGGGCACTTGGCATCCGTCACACTGCAAACCGAAAAGCTCGTGAGGCATGTCGATTCACACCTGGCACAACCAAATAGCATGTGGTTGCCGCAGCAGGAACCAGGGGCCGGGGTGGGTGCTAGTGGCGCTGTAGTCGACTGCTTTGTAGATGCGGCAGTCGGCTGCTTTTTAGGTGCTGCAGTCGTTCCCGAAGATGCTGCGTCGCATTGACTAGCCGGCACGCAGGTTCTCTGGGCGGTCCGCAACAATCCTGGCTTGCAGACGCAGCTGCGTGCCACGGGACAGTTGGCGTCTGTAAATAAGCAGATGGGGGCGCGCTGGTTGATGGTGCTGCAGGTCGCCTCACAGCTAGGACATCCCATCTGCATCGTGGGAGACGTTCCAGTTTGGCACAGCACATCGTAAAAGTCGATGTTTAGTCCCGCCCTTTAAAAACAGTTTCATAAGTTCAAAACGCACCTTTTCATAATGGTCCCCAGTGACTGGCGTTAGCCAGCGAAGTGCTAAATGGTGTTATTTTTAACAGCAATATATCGCACTATATGGTCCCGTGAATGCAGTTTATTGAAGGAATTGCGCTTACCCACTGGCCGGCCCTGGAGCAGGTGGCGCTGCAGTCGGCCGCTTAGTAGATGCTGCAGTCGTTGCCGGAGACGGTGCGGAGCATTGACTGACCGGCACACAGGTTCCCTGGGCGGTGCGCACCAATCCTGGCTTGCAGACGCAGACGGATTTCACGGGACAGTTGGCAATACTTACTGGGCACTTGGAAACGGGGTTGCTGCATGTCGGCTCACAAGAAGGACATCCGATCTGCATCGTGGGAGACGTTCCATTTTGGCACAGCACATCGTAAAAGTCCATGTTTATTACTCCCCTGTAATTGTAAAACTTAATAAAGGTTCGTAAGGTGTCTTACCGCCAAGCCATGCCGTACTGCACAAAGCTACGAACGATGTAGGACAAAGAATACTGGAGAACGACCAGTTGGTCTGCGGTTAAAAAATTTATCAAGTAATCAATAATTAACTGCATGCAACAGTGTGCGCGTCCAGTGTAGCATAAAACGGGATAAACACTGGGTTGGATTAAGGAAGAGATGCACTGGTTTGCGCAGTAAGCATAAAACGAGGCATTTACGCTTTCTGCCCTACTGTCCAATGTCCATATAATAGTGTAACTCGCTTACCCCCCTTTTTGCTCCCCATCTGCAGCTCCGCTGCAGCCGAACAAACTTATGGCTGCTACTCCAACAGCTACAAGCACAGCCGCTGACTTCATGCTGCCAAGAATAAAATAAAGGAAAAGGTTACAAGAGCAGGGCAGCAGCAATAGTACGTAGATAGAAATCGCGCTTAACGGAAAGTAATTCGCACCGGTGCGAAGTATTTTCTCTGCAGTTTATGGTGAGTTTGCACGCACTCTGCTGTTCCTTTTTTATACAGCGTTGCCTTAATTCTCTCCCTTGTTTCGCGCCGGTTTTTCTGGGCTTCTTTGGCGCTTTTGTGAATTTGTGCTCTTGTTTGCTGATGGTAGCAGTCGCGATTAAAGAGTCTGTGCCTGGGTGATTTTTCTTTGGTGTCTTCGCTTCTGGTCAAATAAAAGTGTGGTGGAGTAGGAACGGAATCAAAGCCACAATGAGCGAAAATTGTGCAATATATGGTTGATGGCGGCAGCAATAAAGCGCCGTATTGTCTCAACTGTCGTTAGGTCAAACCAGATGTGCTGGTTCGGTTGGAGTAGAGCGATGGATGTAACATACATCTTCTTAGCACATTGCTATTGCGGTTACATAACCGCAATAGCAATGTGCTACCTTCTAGACGTTCTAGTGGCGGCTAGTGCGCCGGTAGCCTTGGGTGACAACTGGGATCCATTCAGTTTTCCGTAAAGAGAAATCAAGTGCAACAGGTTATGTAATTTTTTCCAATCGTTCGGGTTTTGATTGACGTTCACGTCAAGCTTCCATTAATTTGGACAGCATTAGGCAGCAAAATAGAAAAATTCGGCGATCTGTCGATACAGAGCTTGACGTGATTTAAGCAGTCAATTCTGAGTCTGGTTATTACGGCATCGGAGACCGGTAACGGTTAGGTTTTCAGGCAAAATTCAAACTGCGACGGTTAACAGACAAAACCGTACAGAATCTGGAATCAGACGGGAAGCCAAATACCAAATATCGATAAGGACTCTCCGGTTTTGGCTGGTTTAAACTGCATTTTGTGACGAACAGAGCGATGCTTTGGAATACCAAGAAGCACTCCAATAACAAGAGTGGCAACATAGTGACACTCAATTAAATTTTAAAATGTGCAAATTTTAAACCATAGCCAACATCTGTATCTCACCACAGGATACAACGAAGTGTTAAAACGTGCCATAATCTTTTAACAGCAGTTGACGTTAATTACATCCGGCACGATGACGCGAAAGTGCAGTTGACCTCACACATTAAAATATCCCAAAGTCCGTATATGCCGCGAATAAAATGCAGGCAAATTACTGCACAAGTACCGAACACGCGACATTTCCTCTAACAAAGGGTTAACTTACTTAATTAGCCGATGCGTAAAGTTTAGGACTTGCGAAGTATTGTGGCAGGCGCCATGGAAGAAGAACCCAACAGCAGCTGCATAACGTATTCCAGTCCAAACTTCCCGGTTTTGCGGTCTGGCAGTGTCACTGCTAACACTGACAATTGCTTGTCACCCCGCATTCCACAACCAGGCATGTCCTTGCAACGAGCAGAGCGGCAGCTACCGCACTCCCAGCTGCCCCGTCCAATACTGCAAACCCGGATGCCAGTGCCAGCCGGGATACGTTCGCAACTCCGTCGGCGTCTGCCAGCCGGCGACGGTATGCTCGCCGAACCCAGACAAGCCAGTCATAAACAATAACGTTTTAATATCTTTATCCGACCGGCTGGGATGAACCGCACACTGGGAACAGCGCAAAGCGGTTGATGGCTATACGGATCATGGCTGACCTTTTTGAATTTTGTGTGTTCTCTGTAGGGAAACTGCAGCACGTGGTTGATGTTTAATATTTCTGTTTAGAACATTGTAGCGGCAGTATTTGGATGACCGATAAGACCACCCAGTTAAGATGAATAAGATCCATCATTTTATCGTGTTATGAATCTGTGTCCATTGTATCGGCTAGTTCTCCTTCTCTTGAATTCCTAGAATTCAGTCTCGTACTTCGCTTGCGTGCGACACGCTTGTTCCTCTTGCCTGAACTCTTGCAGTAAACTTGGCTCTGGTTCTTATACATGTATGTCTCCGTTCTCCGTCATTAAACTTGGCGCGAGGTTTGCTCTTGCGTTTGACCGCTCGGGAGACGGGATGAATCAGAGCCACCTGCATAACTGCGTTACGCCAGGTGAGAGCGTCCATACCGTAATATGTTAAATCGGATGACCGATATGTACCGGTATTTCCACGCCCCTTTCGGGTAATTAGGGTTATGCACTTTCATTGTTTATATCTGTCGGAGCTAACGTTAATTCTATGGCGACTGCAATCAGCTCACGTGTGCTCAACGAGAAATGCGGTTCGATCGCGTAATAATTAATGGTCACCATGGTATGAAATTACGAACAGGTCATCGTCGCTGACTCACCTGTTCGATTGGACATAAGCCGGCCTTCATTAATCGCAGTAATCGGCAATCGCAGCCCGGCAGTGAGAAGATCCTGAGTCGCGTGGAACGTTTTTTTTTCGCGTAAATTGTGCTCAGTTGTCAGTCCACTTATACACTTGAACCGCAAACTAGCAGGGCGTCAATTACACTGTTATTGACCAGTATACTCTGCAAGCAGAATGTCCGATTCAGTGGAAGCAGAAATGTCCGATTCAGTGCAACCAGCAAGAAGGAAACCGTGGCAGAACAGTCAGCAGGTGACCAAACGGCTGCGCTACCTGCTGGATCATCCCGACGACGGGATCGGCATCCCCACCGACGTCACCATCGTGGTGGGCAATCCGAACCACAGCGTGCCGAAGACGTTCAAGTGCCATAAGTATGACCTGGTATTTGGCACATTTTAGAAGCATAGCTGACGGAGATGGTCGTAGGTTTGTGCTGGCGTTGGTCAGCGCGGTCTTCCAGGACACGTTCTACGGTGACTCTGCCACGGACGAACATGATCTTCACTATCTGGATATCGCGCCTGTTGGATTTGAGCGCATGCTGAAGTAAGTTAAAAATCGTGCAAATTGAAACGATTACAATTTTATACAGAATACTGAAATCTGTATAAGTACCCATGCATGATGATGTTTCTGCGCTTCACCTGTATTTTATAAATTAGAAAATAGATATTCAGGTATTTCGAAGACACAGGTAAGCAAGTCCAGTATTATACTCGTACTATTTCGACGTTTATGGCATTCCGGAGTCCGGACACATACACAATATGGATTCGCGTGCCGGACACCAGACACAGCGTATCCTCTGCGTTGCTCCACAATAGAAAACTTGCTAATTTTTTATTAATGTGGTGTACAATACGATGACAATACGATAGGCTTGCGTAAAACCAATAATTGTCACGTAATCAATTTTTGAAAACTGTTTGCCATGTAAAACAATGCAGAGAATACCGTTTCCAGTGTGCGATACGCAGTTCATATTGTAATTATGTACGAAATGCCAAAAAAATTATACGCCTCCGACAAATTTCGAAGCCTTACCGCTAGTTGGTTAATTGAACTGGGTGACATTTAGCCATAATAATAGTTATGTGGGATGCTTTACTAAAACTTTGCTGCAGACCGGTTTGTTTTAAAGGCTATTTTTTTGTGACACAACTGATTAATACACTGGGAAGAAGAAACTCCAAAAAATGGGATGCACGTGTGAAAAGAATTATTGTAGTACAATGAGTAAATTTTATTTCAAAGCAACTCCTATAAATAATGGCATATCAGCCCGAGTCCGAGTCACTGTTCTACGAAAACAGCTACATTCACAAACATCAAATCACAGCTTCACGATGTCATTATAATAAGTCGGCGCAAGGCGGTGTATATAATTAAAATGTCTTATTAAAAAAAGCGTTAAGAAGACGTTTTCTCGAGTCTGAGCTGTGGAAAGTTAACAGTCACATTACTACATGAGCCGTGTGGCTGAGTTTCGTTGCAGCTACGCGTACGGCGGTCACGATACCGTGTGCTACGATCTGACGATGAACGACGTGATGGATACACTGTACTGTGCTACGAAGTTCTCCATACGGAAACTGGAGCGCATCTGCCGGGACTACGCGGAGACCCATATCCGCTTCTGTAGCGGTCACTTGATTGCCGATCTGCTGGAGCAGGTACGAAAGCACTTTCGCGCTTAGTTCCGACGTCCGACAAGATACTGTATCTGTACTGCGATGAAACTTTTTATCGATTTAATAAGCACGTAACTTTTATTGCTCTTGTCCGGCAGCAGAAATCGTGCGATTTTAACCTATGCACATACTGAAAAATAATGATACACAACAATTATTATGTACGTTTATGTAACGTTATGTACATATGTATCGTATATAGCAAAATAATTATTATGTGTATAAACTTCTAGAAACAGAAGCATAAAGAGGTAAAAAGTATATTTTTACAAAGTTTTTAATTTGTACATTTTATAGAAGTATGTTCATTTTTTTAGGACATAATTTTATGGTTTATTGATATTTTATAGAAATACGTATTATGTTTCGATCCTTCAGTGAACCTAATTTGGGATCGATTTTGCTACAGGCTGGTCAAATGGGGGAAGGGACTCTCGTCATCCTGCTGCTGGCGGAAGTGTCGCGCAACACGCAAGCGGTACTGCAGTCGCCGGCGTTCCTCACCCTGTCCGCGGAATCCGTGCAACGAATCCTCCAGTGTGACCGGTTGTCGCTGGCGGAACCCGTCATTTACCAGCATCTCTGCCAGTAAATGCTTTTCTCCATGGATAACCGATTAAATAGGCGGTTACCGTTGCTTTTGATAGTGCAGTATATATATGCAGTACAGTATATGCATAATAAAATTAAATTTTCTAGGTGGGCCGCGCACAAAACCTCCGATGCCGACATGACCATTGGGACAGCACTGAGACCGTTGCGGTATTCTATACGGTTTCCTCTGTTTACGGCTACCGAATTTGCAGATGGACCTGAAAAGGTAATGCACATAGATCATATATACTGAACGTAGTAAATAGTATAATCCATGTAAACCAAATAATTTGGTGGGTTGATAGTACTCACGTTTAGAAAGTGCATGCATAAATGACTATAAGAAAGGTAAAAGGAAAAAAATTTATTAAAAATACGTAAACCGTACAGCGAACCAAATTCGCTGTTACATCCAGAAGAAAGATTAAGAAGTAATTTTTTATTGAATAAATTTGTATACATATGTAGATTGCATACATGTGGAACGTGTTAGTAATTTTCTATTCACTCATGACTGTGTTGCGTATAAAACGGGAGTGATTATTGGATGCCGGAGTCAGATTTATCCTTAACGCGATATCCAGTGATTGCAAAAAGTAAATTAATGAATTCCTAATTATTACTGGGATTGAGTAGTCGAAACGCATTGGAAAATAGCGTAGTGGGGTGGCCATGTCGGCGTACGATACCGTTTAATTCCTCGGCTCTAGCCGTTACTGAAGACCGAAAAGCTGCAAAAAGTGTCGCTAATTATAGAACGTGTTTTTAAAATATTTTTTCCCTTCCATGTCGATGCAAATGTGCTCGGAATTGAGTATTTTAAATTATTTCGGGGAGTATGGAGTTAGCGCTGCTTTATGGCCTTTTTTCACGATCAGTACTTAGTACCGGTTTTAGCTACACTTCAATCAGTCAAATGTGGGACACGTGCGTGATATATTGTAGTGAGATGGCGTTATTCGTTATTTACAGTGCGCGGTAACTTTGGAATAATAAGCCAGCGCTACAGTAGCTGTCACATGATCTGAATGACTGCGTACAGTAAATTTAACATTTCCGATTAATTTTTGGGAATAATTCTCTTAGAATATTAAGTTGGGAATAATTCTCTTAGTTTTATAATTCTCTTAGATTGTGCACCGATGCTCGTTATTTGAAAAAAATGAGAAAATGTTCATTTTTATAAAAAAAGCGGAAAAACTATTTTATTATATGTATTTTGCAAAAATTATATACCGTACCTATGCGTCCGGTTTTTTAAAAACGAATTAACAAAACTCCACCCCAACTTGTTAAATAATCTGCATAATCATTAATATGATAGATATTTATTCATATACTACCATAATATGATAAAAGTAAATTAAATAAAATAAATATTAAATAATTTTTGTAAAATTATATCACAGGTACAATAAAATAAAAAAATAGTCTGTAATTTGCATAATAATATTATAATTTTCATGAAATAGAATTTCAGGATGAAGTGTTACGGACCAGCGAAAAAGCCGCCCTGCTCCTCTACATCACCGCCAAGGGCACCGAGACCCCACCGGCGCCCTTCTCCGCCATCCCCCGCACCCTCCCGCCCCTCCGCTGGATGTGCCGGGTGGAGTACATGGACGCGCACACCGCCACCATCCACGGGAAATTCGATCTGCACACCCGGCCGGATCTGGCGCCGGCCTGCTGCGCCTTCCTGCACACCCTCATCGCCGGCGAGCACGCCGTCGGCTTCGGCAAACTGACCAACGGACCCCAAGGGACGGTGCCGGTACCGGCCGCCGTGGCGGCGGACCCCCGTATTCTGTCGTACACCACCGTGGAGGCGGTGTGGTGGGAGTGGGACGTGGTGGATGAGGTCATGGTGGGGGTGCGGATGACGGCCTGGCAGAAACCGCGACGCCGGTATAGCAGCGCGGTGTTCGGGCATATCGTGGGGTTTGATTATAATGCGGAGAAGAAGTGCCTGAAGGGCATCGCGTGGGAGAATAGCCGGATCAACGTGCGATTTTTCCACTATTAACGATACGGTCGAAGTGCGACATTTTTACGTCGAGGTTTATCAAGTTTGTTCAAGATCGAGCAGGAATTCATAATTATAATAAGTGCATTAATGTCTTTGTCGTTTATTGGCAGTTATTAAATTTGTATGTATACGTATGTATACGTAGCTATACGTTCGTTGTTTTGTTTATTCTCCGCTTGATTTTTGCCATATTTTTCTACCGTACCTTAAGCAAAAAATGGCAAAAATGGTTGATTTGTATAATTGCCGCGAATTGTAATAAAACTGTAAAAAAATTCAAACAAAATATTCTCCAGTTCCCGCGTCACAGAATGTAATGGTTCCAACCGGAAATGGGAAATTACAGACTAATTTGATGCGGTTATAATTCGGCTAAAAATAAATTATTTCTATTGGTATCTAATACGTACTCTTCTTATTAAACCAAATTAATCAATAGTCAGTACTACTTGTCACGACTAATACAATGTATGTATTTAATGTATTTACTAACGATAATAAACCAATTTATAATTAATTTGAGATGACAACATTAGCTGCAGAAAGGAGAGAAAACCATAACTTTAGCTTGTATCATGGATTACAAGCTCGTATAAATTTGTTTTCACTTTTCACAGAAAGCGGCAGTTTTAATATTAGCATTTCGATTTCATAACTTATTCATACTTGTCAACAAAAGAAATTAGCGCGGTTGCTTAACGCGGCGTAGTCACGAGCGACGGAAATTTTCCGTGCACACCTCGGCACGTTGCGCGCTTGCCATGGGCTGATTGTGTGATTCATTGGCCTGTCAAATCAACGCTTTCTGACCGATCGGCCAAAGTACAACGGGTGCATAATTTAAATACAGTGAACCCATGGCCCCGCCCACAGCGGGGATTTACCCGCTGTATACGAATCAATGCATTTCCCCGGATGGCAGAAATCTGGTAGCCTGCCGATTCATGCATTCCATTCGGCATTCGAGGATTTTCGCTTATAAATCGACAGCGGTGACTGGCATTTCTCCAACCTAGCAATTCATTCTCAATCTTGACTCTCAACGAATTTTTGAACGCTTTCTACAAGTCAGTTTTGAATTGTTTTTCCCTGTACGAAATTTATCCGAACGCTTTAATCATGTCTCATCACGAAGAGAAATTCGAACGTGTGGAGGAGCGCACAGTGGACCCGTCGCGCGGTCTGCAGGAGGTGCGCGTCGGGATGGACACCGGCCACGGCGATCCCGCGCTCAACTTCCAGCCCACCGATGCCACACTGGTAATGCTACGATCCCGGCGCCGTCACGCTGTAATTTTTTCGGGATGAACAAGACGTTGACCTGTGCGCTGCTTGCAGGTCAAGGGCAAGACTGTCGTCACTGGAGCCGATGCGGCGGGATTGACAACCGGAGCCACGCAGTATTCCTCCGCCGCCACGGCGCAATCCGGAACGCGCACGTTTGAAGCCGAAAAGAACACGTCCTACACTCACACTGAGGTATGTTTTTTGTAAAATTAGGATGAGTTTAAGGAAGCACAAGTCAAGAAGGGATTTTGAAAATTTACGATATTTTTGTTTTAATTTCGGTGCCTCAAGGCAAGAAGTCTGTTCGGTCGGTCGTTTTGTATATGGTTTACAGGGATGTTAGCAGCATCAGCGTTATTTTAAGAACGCATGCTTCCTTTTCGATTTTTGAAATTGGCTTGTTTTAAATTCGGTGGCTCTGGACAGAAAGTCTGTTCGCTCAGTCGTTTTGTATACGGTTTACAGGGATGTTAGCGCCATCAGCGATAAAATAAAAGCTCTTTTCGTATTTCATTTTCTTTTGAAGATTGCTCGTTTTTAATTCACTGCCTTTGGCCAAGAAGTCTGTTCGCTCGATGGTTTTGTATACGGTTTATACAGGGACATTAGCAGTATCAACGATTTTGAAGCGCAGGAATTTATTTTTAGTTTGGATGTTGTACTGAGTAGAGCGCAGGCAGCGGATTTCTGTATCGGTCTAGGTTAAAATGCCGTTCGCAACAGGGTAACTTTCAGGTTAACGATGCGTAGTCTTTTCTGAAAATTAATTTCGCTTTTGGATTGCGTGTTTTAAATGTATACGAAAACTGCATAGGAGATCGGAGAAAATTTACTTTAAAATTATTTATTGGTTAAATTATTCTGGTTTCTTTTCGATCTACGGTTTTTCCAGCAGCTTATCGATTTTTCCCAGAAATGTGACCTACGTAGGCGTCTGTGCGATATACTGCGGAATTTCCCGGTTTCCGCTTTAGAACAGCTACATTTTGTTTGGGTTATGAACTGCTGATGGAAGTAGGCGGAGCGTACTGCTGTTCAAAGCCAGCGATGCGTGTCGTGTTGCGTAAAGTTGTTTGCATGTTTAATGCGCTGTTATCTGCACATGCCGCTGGAAATTCCCAGCTGTTTACTCAGTGATTCATTCAGCTGCATGTTAATTTGACACGTGACCCAATGTTTACTTTTTCATTCACAGGTGCGTGCGCCGCTCATTGCGCCGATGGCACCCATCATCTCCACCGGCTCGGCTGGTCTTGCGCAGGAAGTCATTGGCGAAGGTAAATTGAATTTTAATTAGGATATTTTAAATTAAATTGATTTATTTCTTATTTAAAATTGGTCATTAATAAATCCATGATTATTCAGTAATTTATCATAAATTTATGGATTAATTTAATTAAAATTCATGCTATATTTTTTACGCAATCAGTAATTATGCGGTTGAAATTGATTTAATAATTATAATTGTGTGACTAATTTATTTGTGCGTTGATGCAGGCTTCACCGCTTCCGCTGCCCGTGTAACGGCTGGTTCACAGGCTGGCACCGTTGTGGAAACCGCTGAGATGCGCGAGAAGGCCCTGAAGGACCAGGAACATTATCAGCGCGAGAAGGAAGCCATTGCCCGATCTCATGAGAAGGAACTCGAGAAGAAGACCGATTCCTACCGGAAAGAAGCCGAGGTATGCTTGATTAATTTAGAAAGAGAAATAAATTAGAAAATAAATCTCAGAAAGTTATTCCGATTTATTTTCGTCCTGATTAAACAAGATTTATTGATTTAATTTTCTGATTATTTATGGAGTGAATAGCTTTTGTGAATTTTCTTAAAATGGTTAATTGGTTTGTGCAGGAAGAGGCCGAGAAAATCCGCAAGGAGCTTGAGAAGCAGCACGCCCGCGATGTGGAATTCCGCAAGGAGATGGTCGACACCACCATTGAGCGCCAGAAACGCGAGGTGGAACTGGAGGCCAAGTATGCCAAGAAGGAGCTGGAGCACGAGCGCCAGCTGGCCCAGGACGCCTTGGACAAGAGCCGCATGGCCACCAACATCGAAGTGTCCATGGATACCGCTGCTGGGTAAGAAATTCTGCATAAATCGATTTTTTTTATAATTTTCATTACATAATAAAATTGGAGGAAATTATTTTTTTAATTGATTTATTTTTTAATTACTGGCCTTTAATTTAATACGTTATATTTTTGAATTTTTCAAAATTTAAAATCTCAGAATTTTTGGCAAGGAATTCCGGTCAATTCTGCTGGGATTTTCGGTTAATTTTAATACAGTTATTATGCTTCAGTGAATTGATTTTTGATTATTTTCCTTTTACAGGCGCACTGTGAGCGGCGGTACGACTGTCTCCGAATCCGTGACCACTCACCACGAAGTTCACGAGAAGGAGAAGAAGTCCCTGGGCGAGAAGATCAAGGACACCTTCCTGGGCCGCTAAGCGCGCGTCGCGGCGGTTCCGTTTGGGGATTCCGCTTTTTATTACTCGTATGCGTGGACGCAGCAGGCCCCGCTCCTGCGCTTTGGCACATTCTTCCCCCCTTGGTTTCCTTTATTAATTGTAATCTCTCTCTAATTGACGTGCTGTATCACTGGGTCGTCGTGTTATCCTGTTTCACAATAATTGCCAAATGATCGAATTTTGGCTGCTTTGGTGTTCGTACCGGCACAGGTGGTTTGCATCAAACTTGTGGACTATTTTTTTATACGTTTAACCGATTCGGTTGTCTGGCTGTTTGCGTTTTTTGTGTCAATTTTTTTGGGGAATGTAATTATTTAAAAATGCCATTCAGAAATTAAAAAATCATTGGAATCAGAAATTCGCAATTCCGGAATTAATTCGAATTAATTTTAAGGAACTTCAACAGAATCGTAATACGGTCATATTTTACAACGATTTTTAGTGCCCCAAAATGCGGCCTGTTCTGAAATATTTCGTACAACGAAAATTAATTGGCAGCATAATATTAATCAACAAAACTCGAACAACTGTATTACCTGAAAAAAATTTTAACCAGTTATTAATGAAATTTTTAAGGAATTTTTTCCGTACAGCGTTTAATAAAATGCTGAAACTTCCCAGTGATTAGCGCCCGGAAATGCGGCCTTTCTGAAAAACATTTCGTGAAAAAATTGCAATAGGTGTTCAAATTTGAGCGAAATAAATTTTAACGGTGTATTAATTTTGTAAACCATAATTATCCGTACGCAGTAATTCTGAAAGCGTTGCAACTTGATCAGCCAAAACGTCAATCAAATAAAACTTTATACAATGGTCAATGAGAATCAATGAAATTGGAAATATGGCGCATTATATGATCCGCCCTGTAGACCTGCACTTGAACTTGTCTCGTGCAAAACAGCCATCTCGCGTCCGATAAGCATGTTCTCTCTGCCTCATGTGTCTCACGTTTTAAAGCCTCAAACCGGATGTATAGCCGCTGTGCGTCTGCCTGTCTCCTTTTGACCATTGTCGCCGCACTCTCTCTCTGGCCAGTGGCGCCGTCCATCCAGTTTGCCCACTTTCACTTGCTGACACACAGTCACACACGCTCGCTGGTCCTGTGTGGCAGTTGGTGTGAACGCGACTATCTGCATTGCATGTTTGCGGCCAAAGTGGTCTTGGCTGGCCTAAATTTTTGTTGACAACATATCTTGCGACAGACTGTACGATTCATATTCATCTTCCATTCACACGTTTATGCATGTTTGGACATGTTTACGTCTTTACGACGCCGCGATGAAAATCGCTGACAATGGCCTGGAGACGTGTTTTTCTGCAGGTGGCCGCTGTAAAAATGTTATTTTAATGTCTGTTTATGATGCGGGCGGTTGCCAAGAAGGCACGTGATGGATGCTACTGGCTACACTGGACATGGCCCATGGGAGATGGATGTTGTATAGGGTCGAAGAGACGCTGAGCAGGTGCGACAGGAAATGGCTGTTTGTTCTATGAGCGAGGGTGACTGTTTGCTGTTGATCTGCTGCAGCAAGTCAAACGCTGGGTTTTTTTGTCTGGTAACCGGTTGGTAAGGAGGACGCTAGCGTTTCCTTCTTATTCAAGGCATTGTGTGGTGTGAACTCATCGAGACCCTGTGGCGCCCCGCGCGAGTAACTTGTGCGAGAAATTGGCTGATTAATTGCGTGTTTGGTGCGCTTGGACGCTTGAAAGCTTGTTACCACAGTCGGGACGGACGCAGGTACGTTTTGTACGCCAGCCAGAGCAAATAAATAATTGTTCAATGAATTACTTTACTGGGAAATTTTTTCCTGCATTTCGAATTTCCGAATTTAAAATTGGCATTTTTAAGAAAGGTTGGTTTAACAGTAGATTGTTAATTACAATACGTACTGTGATTGATTTTTTTCAGTTTAAATGTTAAAGATTTGCCTTACCAGTTTTTTATTAAATTTCTAGTATTTTATTCACAATAATAAAAGTTCAGTTTCGTGTCCAGAAAATGCTCAAATTTTTTTATCCGTTAAAAAAGCATGGATTTTATTTTGCGTATTATTTTACTCTTGTTATTTATTGATTTGCGCATTATTTTGCTCTTGCGCATGAATACCGGACTCTGCCCATTCTCTACGATTGCTCGTTTCTGTACATCGGAGTTTTGACACTTTTTGATCTTATTATTTTATGATTTATCGGTTCTGTCATTCGGTAATCAGTATTTATTTTCTCACACCGATTTTTTTTTTGGTTTATACTGAAATTTGGCTTGTTTGTTCTTCGATCCTTGTACGATCCGGTTTGCTGTACAGTACTTGAATCCCCTTTTTTTCGGAAAATAATGGCTTTTCCAGCCGCAGTTTTTGCTTCCAAACGAATTTCAGCCGTTTTTAATACTGACTGTACTTCGTTGATGTGTGTGTTTCCTTTTCAGTGAGTTGGATCGTGGGAGACCAACCGGAAGTCGTTGTTGTGCATGACGTATCTGCATACCTGCACGGTTTATGTTTTGGATTATGGTAGCTGTGGAAACGAAAACACTTGGAGTTCAACGATGCTGACTTCGTGACTTCCGGCGTCACAAAGCAGTAAGTCAGTTTTTATCATGCAGAAATTTTGCATCGCCCGAGGACGACATTTTCTTGTAAGGTTTCCATGTCATTTTGCTTCCCTGGATAGTTTTGCGTTTCCTTCGTTTCTTTGTTTCCGTCAGTAACTGTAACTGTGTCTGCAGTGCGAATACGAATACCTTTGAATATTTTTCCGGATTAAGTTTGCATTAATTTAATTTATTTTAGTTGTGCTTTCATGAAATTTAGCAGATTTTTTGCATTAGCAGTTCTCCGGTCTTTCAAAAGAAATTAATTACAAGCAATCAACCCAGAGAAATTTATTTTATAAATGCGATAATACTTTTATTAGAAAATGTTTTTAAAATATATTTATGTAATGAGATTAATTAAATTGGATCGTTTTCATTTTTCGCTGTGTCCAATACTTGCGTGAATTTTTTCGGTGATTTTTACGCGTACATATTGATTTGCTTTTTTTGTGCAAGTGTAGATCCGTTTATATGAAGAAATATGTTTTTCTTTTACTTGATAATTTTGTAGAAAAATTTTATTTTAATTGAATTCTGTTTTTAATATATTTTCGGTGTACAATTTTCTGAGGCTGTTTTTCAATTCCGTGTAAACTTTTCTTTTGATACCATTTTCTGGGGCAATTTTTACGCGTGCAACTGATTTCGAAACACACTCAGTCAACCGAGAAATTTATTGTTATGTCTTTCGATATTGTGGAACCGTTAAGAAATGGGATATTTAGCGCGGCGCTCGTAGGCCGGAAATAAAAATGATTAATAATAGCCAAAATCGGCGTTGGCGCGCTGCTCTATTCTATTTTTATCGGCCCCACCGAATCATATCACATTGGAGGTCATTAAGCGTTTAATAGTTTGATCAAACAAGCTATCAGCGACGCTGCCACGGCTAATTGTCAGCGTTTGCCAACAACGCCAAATTGTCATCGCTGTAATAAAATCCCTCCAAGACAAATTACCACGGGCCACGCAAGAAACGCGCGAGACATTTTTCTGTAGCGAAAAATGAACAGTCAGCCGGCACACTTTTTGACAGGTCTCACACTCGCACCTGTCGTGTTTGTTGTTGTTCTTGCGCTTGCTTGCACAACAAGGTGGCTCGTCACACGCCGTGCAGTTAGGCACCGTCAGAGATGCTTTTTTGATTCCGATTTGACCGGATCAGATTAGGCGATTGATGAGGAATTAAACGGGGAGAAATCGCAGGATGTCAGTGTGATAAATGAGGGTCAATTTATTCTAATTAGCCGATTATCGTTTCCGGTGGAAAGCCATTATATTACCGAGGTATTGAACTTCAATTTTTACATTTTTCTTAAATTACTGTTTGCGAAAAATGCATTTCCGGTGCAAATATCGGCACCATCAGACCGTGTGAATATTTCAGATCGAATTTTTTCAATTGTCGTATTACGGATTTTCTTACAGATCGGATTTGATGTCAAATATTATTTTAATTTTTGTCTGTTAATCTTTTTAGTTTTAAGTATTATTTGATTTTTGTTTTATTGACCGTTTCAATGCCGTTTTCATTTATTCAGTTAATTGTTTTAGTTGTAAATAATATTTTGATTTTTTTCTGTTAATCCGGTGGATTTTTCACTTTTTTGTACTTGCGAAAAATAATTTAAATATTAACTTTCTTCGTATAAAAAGTTTGTAATTTATTTTTATCGTAAGTAAATATAAAACTTTTAAAGATTTAAATATAATGAGGAGAAAAAGCAGAAAGCCAACATGAGTGAATGATGAATGGAATTTCGTACTGATAAATTTAAAAAGAAAATATCGTAGCGGCGCGGTGTAATTCCGCCGGCCTTTTGTCTTTGGCAATCGGCGCGATAATTTTGCAAACGGTTGACATGAAAACGGTTGTGATTTGGAATTGACGCCGGCATTTCTAAAGACATTAACCCATTAAACTTTGGAATCGGTCAGCGATAACGGCTGGCAACCGGCACATTTTTCGAATAATTTTATCGGAATTTTCTTCCGCCGTCTCCGGAGATGGGAGTTGTAGTTGCCGTCTAAGAATTTCTTGTAAAATGTGGGTTGATTGAATTTGTTGGCTAATGGTTGGGAATGGACAAGGCATGTCAACATGCTTGAGCGGAGATGCATTTCACTCTTGGCGCTGTGCTTTCCCAGCCTGAGATTAAGCAAGAGGTCCATCTGTTAGTTATTAATAGTGTGCCGGTTGGTAACTTGGTGCCATCGTGGTTTGATTTCGGAACCAGCTGGGATTAAGTCTTGCGGTTCCGTTGGCAAATAAATTTTCAAGAAGTCTGTTTAGATTCTGGCGAGGTCAGGTTATGTCTCTTGCGTGTGTGGGAAGCAGTTCGCTCTCTTGCACAGTTTGTCGAAGATTTTATAACGCTTATTAAAATATATCGATTGCTCGGTTTGATTCTTGCGATTTATATCGGTGAATTTTTTTAACTAATCTCGACTGTTATTTAATTATGTGGTGGCCGACTCGTGCGTAAAATTTTGGATCGTGGTTTATTATTTATAATTGTGGTTTACCATTTTTTAATTAATTTACTATTTTTGAAGGCAGTTTACTAATTAACTTTTTGACGTGGTTTACTATTCCTACATAAATGTAATTTTGAATCAGTTTTTATTTATTTTTTTTAAGTATTTGAATTTTAGCTATCAAATGTGCAGCGCTTGTAATTTTTGTTATTTTACTGGCTGTTGCAAATGAAATTTAATTTATTTTAATTTTTTAATTGGTTCTTTGTGGGAAATGTTTTATACTGTATTCTGCGGCAGCTTTTCCTTTATTTCCTTTTTTTATGAATTTTGCGTGGTATTACAAGATATAAAAATTTATCCATTTATTTTGTGGATTTATTCAAAGGCTTTTATTAATTTCATGCGATTTGTAGTTGTTGCAGCGGCTTTTTCATTTCGTTGCCGCTTCGAATCTCTCAGAGATGTTTTTTGATTTTTTTTGTCAAGGGAGTGATGTAAATTGTTTGCTTTAGGACGGAATTTTGTAGCCTCAAACCACGGTGAATGTGAAAAAACTATCGGTGGATACTTGTGGTTTGATTGATCGGAATCGACTGCGGAGAAGATGACGGAAGTGGTCGACGCCATACCGACACTGCGCCGCAGAATGGACGCTGCACGGCGTCTCACGTCGTCGCAAGAGAACGTGGTCATCTCGTCAACGTCCTCCATTCGCAATCGGGTTGGTTAAGTAGGATTCGGCTGTACTTTTTTTCCAGCAAGCATTTGCAGTCAAATTTTAAATGCAAAAACAGGAGATGCCTTATTTTTCTGAAATAATGCCGGACATTTTTGCTTTAATTGCTATTCAGATTTTTTTGCCCTTAAAGATATGGATCACTGTTTTCGAACTGAAGGGTCTCTTGATAAAAATAATTTTCGCATATTTGTGTTAGCTTTTCGTTCTTTTCTGAATTCCGTTTTATTCTCCGTGATATTTTACTGAAAATTTGGCTATTTTATCGTCATTTTATGCGAGTTTTGTACTGTTTTTGTTGTAGAATTAATTTGCATTTCAGTTTATTGTTAAATACATGCTTCATCAAAAATGCTTTTTATCATTAAAAACGTTTTATAAAAAAATTATTGAATACGTGTTTTATACATTATTTATTAATTTTATTTATAAATTATATTTATTTTATTATTAATAATTTAAATGTTTAAATACATGTTTTATACAAACGAAATTCCTGGTAGAAAAACGGCGAAAGGGAAAAGCAATGTATGGTCGAATACCGAATGGCTCATTTAAAGTTAAAGTGGATTTTTATGATGAGAATGTCGATTTAGTAATGGATACGGCATTCGATTGGATGTTTTAATTTGTCACTGTTTCTGCAGATTAATTTTGGGTTTTTTTGATGAATTGCAGGGAAAGCGTTCGCGTTCTGTGTCGCTCTTGTCGGCGGCAACGAAGAAACGACTGTCAAATGGTTCCTTGGAACAAGATTTGCATGTCAGCATGTCCTCCGTCGCGATGGGGAAAGTGGCTAACGATATGGAAAAGGGTACTAATTTGGTGTTATTTTGAGCAGATTTAAGTCGCTTGACAAAGTCGGTGTGTTGCATTATAAAAATACCTAAGCAAATTAAACAAATCATTGATAAGTTATTGATAAATAATAAATAAATACGCAAAACTTATAAGGTTTCAGGTTTTTTGTGTTTTAAATATTTGTTTGTAACTTGAACACCAGTACCCAGGTATCTGGAGGAAAATCTTATAATATTATTATTATTATTCTTTTTAAGTACAGTATTATTTTATTATCTTTTTGGGGGTGTGAAATATTTGATATTAAACATTAGTAGCTTTGACCGAATACACACGAGTAATTTCATACGTAATTTGATTTTATATTTTGATGCGTCGTGCCGGTACCGGCAATTAAGACATTTTAATTTTGTACGTAATTTCTGCGTTTTAGTTGGATTACCGTTGCATCTTTATATTTGTTACTGCAGATGGCGCTTTTCTGTGTTTTTGGGTTTTTGTGGGAATATTTTCAAGTTTGCGATTGAGTAAGGACGTAAGGTATCGTAAATTCATACTATTTAATGTGATTGAAAATAATCATAATCAAAATCATGCCTAAATCATAATTTTCATCATTTTTTTCAAGTTTTAAGTGGGTAGTGTAATTTGCACTGTAGCGTTAATACGGACTTGTGAGTAAAGTTTGGGTGCGTTATACATAGCGTCTGATTGTGTAGTGAAGTGGCACTGCCATTATACTTAAAAATGATTATTCTGAGTTTTAACTTGCCAAGACATACTAAATAAAGAGTTTCGATAGATATATCTAGCTTTTTTTTGTACATTTCCAAAAAAATGCCCGTACATAATAATTGCGTTTCTTGTTAATTTGTGGTGGCTTTGTGGTTGTGCAGTAAATGTTTATAATTTATTTTTATTTAGCGGTTATTTTTTGGTTTTTGCTGTTTTGCAGAAACGGACTGCACGGCGGAGATCCATTCGTTGTGGCACTGGTTGCGGCAAGTGGAGAAGCATCTGTACGCAGACGCCTGGCCGGAAGATCTCGGCAACGATGAGGCCAGTTTGCGACAAGAACTGGAGCATTATCTGGTAAGAATTATACTCTCTATATTGTCTTCACCATTTTTGTCGTTTTTTACTTTCTTAGTTTCTTACTTGCAGTCTTTACTGAAATATCGGTTTATTGGAACTGTTTGTTAATTTTTTTTCGAAGCAGAATCTTATGCTTAGAATTTTTTTACTATTTTTGTATCGACAAGGAAGCTTAATGCTTGATTTTAAAATCGGTATTGAACAGTTTTGAAAGCGAAAGCAGAAAGGCAATGAATAAGGTAAAAACTGACCAAAATAACGGCAATAAATGTACCAGAGTTTATTCTAATTGAAATTAATTCGTTAAATCAATGTAGTAAATTAAACCAATTCGAGTTGGGTAAAATTGAGTCGTTTATTAATTAAATTAATTGGAAAACTTCAGTAAAATTTTTTTTTAAATTAATTAATTAATTATAAGATTAAATTTTTAATTACATAGTTGAAATTTTTGGTTAAAATTTGAGTTAGGGAAAAGGTTTAGAAGAACGACCGGAAGGTGCGAATTTATCCGGAAACACATGACAATTTCCCGGCATGGTGCGGGGTAAGTTTGCACCGTACCCCGCATCATGCCGGGAAAATTTCGTAAGCAGGAGTAAATAAAAAAATATGGAAAATTAGGGGAGAATTTCGGGGGAATTTATTGCGCAGCTTTTGCGCGTTGATTGTGTCAAGTGCGTGTCGAGGATGTTGGCGTAATGGCCACTTGGCACGGGCGAGTGGTGTTGTTGGCTGCACAACACAACACAGTACACACACACACACGCACCCTTGGCCAATCAGCGGCGGAGTGGGGCGGATCCGAACGGGCTGGTTTTGAAGATATGTAGAACAGCGGCATCGGATGTAGTTGCGGTAGTTGAGCGGATCTATCGGCCAGTTGGATGTTTGCAGTGTGTGCCGAATGCTACCTGGTGGTGTGTTGCGGGTAATAGCGCGTGTTGAACACTGATTGGCAATGCTGATACATTTATAACGGTTTTATTCGTGTCAGTTTTATCTGTTTGGAAATTTGACGCTGAGCGGCACGTTGACCGGTTTTCGTGGCTGTTTTTTTTTGCGTTAGGTAAGAAAGGGTAATTAACGTTTTTGAATGGTTTGTGCAAGGTAAACGGAATAATTCCGTAATCAACGAATGCTAAGAAAAAAGAAAATAAATTGTTTTTATTTTAATTTTGTGTTTTGCCGGTTTGTTAAATAATTTCTGTTTGTGTACGATTTATTTTGCCAGGAAAGAAACAATATTTTCATAACTAACAGGAAGAACAATAATTTAATTGTCATTTATTTTGAATGAAATGAAATAATTCGGCAGTCAATAAAATTACGAGAAAATCAAAGAAGAAAAAGATTTTTTTTATTTGTTGTTCCATGTGTAATCTGATGATTTCCTACTTATCTTTCATTTAACCTGAATAAAACGGAATAGTTATGTGATCGGCAATTTGTGGTGGAAAAGAAGGAAAAAATTTTGTTTTTTCTTTTGATTTATTGTTTCACCTGTTTGTTTCATAATTTCCGATTTATGTTTTCCCTGAATTTATTCCCAGTAAAAAGTTTATGATGCGCGCTGAGGATGAAGTTGTCGGAAAAGATTAAAATGTTATATAACGCGATGTGATTCGATCGTTCTTTGACAAAATCGCGGACTTGTCGATGCTTCCGAAGAAAAATTGCGCGTTATGTCATTTAATAACGGGGATTTTCTTGGGATATAATCCCGGCGTCCTGTTGTGCCCGCGTATGATGGTGTGCATTCCCGTGTCATTGGCCAGCGCCGGGTTGCAGCCGGGGATCGGGCTAATTTGTCCATTTGGCCTGCACTTTGTGCGCCACGCCGGAGAATTGCATTTTGTCCACATTTTGTAGGGCACGTTTGATAGTTGGATATGCGCGGTGTATCCCAGTGGGTTGAGCGGTGTCGTTTCCGGTTGTGCTGCGTCCGGACGGACTGGTCCATTATATCAGGGGGCACTTTATTAGGCCGCGGCCAAGTGCTGGCTGGGGACGCAATGCGAAATAAGCTATGATTTACGCGGCGCTTTTTCCGCGCGATGTCGTAATTCGTAATGGGGATTTATTTCTTTTATGGCGTGGAAGATGTTGAACGGAAAGTGGATCCGATTTTTATTACGCAGAAGCGTCGAAAAATTTTTTATTTAAACTTTAATTTTACAATAAGGTCTACAGAGCCAGTTTATTTCCGATCCGTTTATTTCCGTTGACTACGTTATTGGCACTGAAATGTTCGTTACGTTGCGAATAATTGTAGTGCAGTGGCTGTTGTATATTTCGCTAGAGTCGTGAGCTTGTTTAATAACGATCCCGGAATGGTTAAATAATGAGTATGTAATTTTTTCCATAATTTTTCCTGTTTAAAATAGGTTTAGGGAAACGGAAAAATTCGTGGTGCATTTTTGAAATTTAGGCAGATGAAATTGAAGAGTAAATATACAAAACACATTCAAGTTATTTTTGTTCGAGTACGTAATATTATACCTTGTTATATTCTAAAAAATAAGATACCGCGAAATTTTCATACGGTTTTTTGGCGAAAGTTTCAGACAGCTTTAATTTTCCAGATAAAAAATCAGGTGATTGTGAAAAAGTTGACCTGCGACAGCTTATGTTGAATTTTTCACTTTTGCCGACGTTCGCTGCTGTTTTATAACGGCGAAAACGACCCGGCAAAGGTGTAAGAAAGATTACGGCATTTTTATTGTATTGTTGCTGATCGGTTGGGATTGAACAGCGCGCTTTCGATTGAGTCGTATTATCCGAGCGGCGGATTAAGTTTCTTAACGATTAGAGTAGATTGCGAGGAGAGAATTGACGGGTCGGCTTACGCCGGGATAATATGCGGCTCTTTATTGAGTGGACATTTCTCCAATCTGTCAGACGTCAAAATGGATTTTTCGGAATGTTTGAGCATCTGTTTGGTGCGCTGGAATGCGCTGACATAAATATTTGCGCCCTGAGAACTCGATAATTGTCGATGAACTGAATGTTTTTCTTACTAATTAAATAGAAAAAAATCGCACATTTATTCTTGTCCTGAATCACTAAAAATAAAATTTTCTTAATAATTATTATTTTTTTAAAAGTAACGGATAAATAGAAAAAATTCCGTTGAAGGAGAGTTTTTTAATATTTATGTTTTGAATTTGGCCATTTAATTTATTTAGATTTTTCTCAAACGGATATTTACTGCATTTAGTTTATTTATATTTTTTTAAAACGGATATTTATTGATTTTTTTATGGGTATTTTTTATCAAATGCATGCATTTCTAAAAATAACTGCGAAGCCGGTTATTTTAAAATTTTAGATTTTAATGCAACCTGTCTGTAATAAAAGTAGAAAAATCCAAAATGCGTTATTTAATGGAAACAGCGATGTGTATCTCCGTGTATTACGATTAAATTATTTTTCTGGTGGTTATTATGTTGTGAACCTTTGATCGAATGCGATTCGGGAGCATTAGCCGGTGCATTAAAGCGAGCTTCCGGTTGTTTGGTCATTCAGCGCATTGTCCGCACATCGGCGCACCTGGAGGGGCGCATCTTCATTGCGTGGATGCCGGGCGTTTTTAAACTGATTATGTGCAATGCCCATGATTAGCCAACATGTGCGATGATGCAACAGGACAGAAACGTCGCGCTGCAGATGTTGGCCAATGAATTTTCGCTGACCATCTGCTTCGCCGGTTTATTTGCTCAAATGAGCACGTGGCGAAGGCAATTTGGCAGATGTTTTTCGCTGGAATGTTCCTTCTAGTTTTGATTTACTCTTTTTTTGGCTACGGTGGGTGCGTTTCAAATTAAATCGCGAGGTATTAAAAAATAAATCGATGGATTAAATTTGGTGATTTGGTATCGATTTTTTGGTGATTTTATTTTGTTTTTGTCCGTAGTTTTGTTTTGCTTAGTTTCACATAGATATTTATAGTTGTTTGCTAATAATTTCATTTTTGTTTTGTTTTATGATTTGTTGTTAAATGATTTTTTTATTTTTGCTAATAAGTAATAATGCATGTTAAACAAAAAAATATATAAGTGCATGTATATATTTTTTATTTTCATGTATAAATGAATTCATAAAAATTTATTCAAATTATTGCAGTAATTGATATATGAGTATATCCAGTTTATAATTTTATTATTGATTATACTAGTTTGCAATTATTTAGGATAATTTGTACATTAGTTTTATTTAATCTGGATGTAAGTTTCGGATTGTTATTGCGCATGAATGAGTTGCCGATGAAATCAATAATGTACCGACTGAGTTAGAACGGTAGGCACTGGATGATTTCAGCTGCTTTTATATTAACGAAAATCATAGAGATCCGCGGGTGACCACCTGTCGGTAAATGCTAACATATTTTGGTGCGATTTATTGTCTGAGCCGGAGTGATGTCAATATAGCCGAATTGTAAAATTGCGGGCGGCTCAGCATCTTGTCCCTTTCAGCGCTGATTATGTATGTCCAATCCGGCCTGTCCGTTTTATACAGAATTTAATACGAATATATATACGAAGGCTGTGTGTTTATGTCAAGTGCAACCTGTCATAGCGCACAGTGTTCCGCGCGGCAGCTGGTGTGATTGTGCCTGATTAAACAAATGCCGGGTCTTTTATGCATTAATCTTCATGTTTTTCATCAGGAGAAGTGTGGGGTGGGTTAAATTATTTTAAGGAAAATTTTCGGCAGGTTTCGGCAAATTTTAGCTGTAAATATTATATAAAATCAAAGGTCTGTTGAATAAAATTTGTCTTTATTTTACTTGACTTTAAATGAATATTTCTGAAAGTTTCAAACATTTTCTTTTTTTTAAAGACGCTTTTTTGCAGTTTGTGTGGTTTTAGAATTTTTTCCTGTAAATTGTTTTATATTTTTTACAATTTGGCTCTGATTTATTATGTTTTAGAATTATTGTATATTTTTTTGTCTTTTACGATTTTTTTTCACTTAATTTTTTTTAAGTATGGTCC